TATATATCTGTGCACATATCGATTTCTGCACACTCACGCATAAACACACACACACACACCAACATACACACACAAACACACACACAGACACACAGACACACACACACACACACACACACACACACACACACACACACACACACACACACACACACACACACACACACACACACACACACACACACACACACACACACACACAGACAGACACACAGACAGACACACAGACACACACACACATACACACACATACACACACACACACACGACCCCCGAACAATACTCAAAAAGCAAGCAGACTCCGCTATCGCGAGCAGCTCCACGGTGAAACATGAAAATGCAAATTCTCACTGTGCGGCTTGTAAGGCGAATAGCCCAAGGGCTACTTGAGGGTCAGGCGTTTCAGCGTCTCCAAATAGAAAGGATGCACGAGCGTACAACAGCAGCCGCACGCTTGCCCAAGCAGCTTCGCATGCAACAGCACACCCTTCAGCTCCGCTGCTGCTGTTGGTGTTAGCTGTACTGGCAGCGGCGGGGATGCCTTCGCCACAGCCACGAGCAGATCCGGGGAGATGATCTGCTGCAGCAGTTGCAGTTGTTGGCGCACTTGTTGCAGTTGTTGTCGCAGTTGCTGCTGGCAGCGGCGGGGTGCTGCGGGGAGACAGCGTGATGCGGCTGGAAGAAGATGCAGATTCTTGGCTTGTAGTAGAAGAGGGCGTGTCTGCCGCGATGCGTCTTGTTGCCGTGGACGGCTGTTGCTGCTGCTGCTGCTGGTGCTGCTGCTGCTGCTGCTGCTGCTGCTGCTTCGTGCTTTCGATTGGAATGAAGTGACCCCCCAAGCCACCCCCCCAGCCAGTTGCTGTCGCACTGGCAATGCCGTCTGCAGTCTCAAGCCCTTCCATCTGTTGCTGCTGTTGTTGCTGCTGCTGCAAGGGACTGTTTGGAGGAAAGGCTGGCGTGGCACTGCCAGACGCTCTTTTGATGGCTATTCTGAAGTGCCCTGAGGGCAGCAGCGAGTGGAGAAACTTGAGGCGCAGGATCGAAAGCAACAAGCTGTACAGACACCTGCTGCCAGCAACGCAGTGCAGCAGCCAATCGAGCCGCTGCAGGAGTTGCAGCGCAATGTCTGGCGTGCCTTCCCGCGTTGGAGGCGAGTTGCCGAAGAGGCCGCTTGTGCTGCAGCTTCCGCTGATCCCAGCTGTTTTGGGGTGGCTGCAGACAAGCCGTAGCACAGCATCCGTCACGTCGAGGTGCACTAACGCAGCGCATGCGTCCAGGTGTCCAGACACCTCATCATAGAAACGCCACGGCTGATGCATCCACACGCACTGCCGTGTGGGGAGCGCAGCCACCTGCACGGAAAGGCCAGACGCAGCAGCAAAAAAAATAAAATCCGCCGATGATAATTTAAGATGAAGACAAAAGCTAAGGCTGTACTGGCAACACACCAAAAGAAACAGTACAAATACCTCTGCGCAAGCACCGCTGGCCTCTACAAGCGGTCTTTCGCTCCGCCTGCTTCTACAACCGTTCGCAAACGGTGTCTGTGTCTGTCTGTTTGCGTCTGCGTGTGTGTGTGTGTCTGTTTGTGTGTTTGTGTGTGTTGGTTTGTTCGTGCGTGTGTGTCTGTTTGTTTGTTTGTTTGTTTGTGTCTGTCTGTCTGTCTAACTCTCTCTCTCTCTGTCTAACTCCCTCTCTGTCTGTCTCTGCCTCTCCGTCTGTCTCTGCCTCTCTGTCTATCTAACTCTCTCTCTGTCTGTCTAACTGTCTCTCTCTGTCTGTCTACCTCTCTCTCTCTGTCTGTCTAACTCTCTCTCTGTCTGTCTAACTGTCTCTCGCTCTGTCTGTCTAACTCTCTCTCTGTCCGTTTCTGCCTCTCTAACTCTCTCTCTGTCTGTCTGTCTAAGTCTCTCTCTCTGTCTGTCTGTCTGTCTGTCTCTCGCTCTGTCTGTCTAACTCTCTCTCTCTCGCTGTCTGAATCTCTCTCTTTCTCTGTCTGTCCAAATCTGCAACTCTCTGTCTGTCTGCTTGCCCTCACCTTTAGGAAGTCTGCCGCTGCAGGTGATCCGGAGAGCAGCATTTTGAGCACTTGAGGCTCAGGAGGCAGCGGCAAGAGAGCCGCTAGCAACGCAGCCAGCAGAGGCTGAAGGGGTCGAACCTGAAATGTGGGGGTAAGCGCTCTAACTGCTCTCAGCAAAACGGCTTCCAGCATTGCTGCGCGGGCTGCTGCTGCCGCTGCGTCTGCGGATACGCAATCCACCGCTACTGCAGCAGCTGCTGCTGCTGTCGCTGCTGCTGATCCTACTGCTGTCGCTGCTCCTGATCCTACTGCTGTCGCTGCTCCCGATCCTCCTGCTGTCGCTGCTCCTGTGGCCACTCCTGTTGCTGTACTTACACCCCCTCCAGCGCTCGACTGCGCTGCATCGAGCGAGAAACGGCGCCGTCCTCCCGCTGCTCCCGCCACTGCTGCAGCTTCTCCCGCATGCTGCTGGTGCCAGCTGCCTAGTGCAGAGGCAGCAGCCTTTCGAACCTTCGCCAGTTCTGCTGCCAGCCGCTGAACTCGCTGTAAAGCTCGCGGCAGCAAAAAGGCGTTGAAGAGTTCTCTATACGTTTCATGCCGAGGAGCTCCCAAGGCACGCAGCAGCGAGACAAGCGCTGCAGCGCGCGGATCGGCTAAGCCTTGCGTCTGCTGCCATCGTCTGCATGCAATTATCGCAGGAGAAGCCGGTGCAAGTCCAATACCCGCTGCTGCTGCAGCCGCAGTGCTAGCTGTTGCGGGTAGACTGCCTGTCGAAGATACAGAGGCTGCCTCGAAGCTGCAGCTTCCTTCCTGCTGCCCTCCAGCTGCTGTTGTGATTGTCTGTGCGGCATGCGAAGCGCTCGTTGGGTGGCTGTAGAAGCCGCGCATGGGCTGCTGCTGGTAGTTTTGCTGTTGCTGCTGCTGTTGCTGCTGCTGTTGCTGGTATTGCCTATGGTTGGCAAGACATCCTGCATCCGGAGATGCACATGCCTCCGTGGCGAGAGGTGCCCTCGACAAGACGTAAGCTCCTGAAGTCGCCATAACATCCCCATCGCGCAAGACAACAGAATATGATGCATGACTTGAAAAAAAAATAGCGACAGTAGCGGCTAAGCATCCTGCAGCGACTGCCTCCTTTCTTTCTCCCCGTTCTTTCTTTCTCCCCTTTATTTCTTTCTCCCCTTTATTTCTTTCTCCCCTTTATTTCTTTCTCCCCGTTCTTTCTTTCTCCCCGTTCTTTCTTTCTCCCCGTTCTTTCTTTCTCCCCTTTATTTCTTTCTCCCTCGCTTCCGCGAAAACAAGCAGCAATATCCATACACCGGCATGCAGCACACAAAAACGACGACCTCCGTCTCTCGAAAAGGCTCCCCCCCACACACAACGCAGTTTGCGAACGCTAAGGCTTCGCACGACTCTCAGATGCAATATTCTCAGGGAGTGTCATCAACCTATTTCTACACTTGCTGCATGCGACTTACGCTCAAAAAATTGTTTCAACGCTAAACGACCTGCAGGTCCACAGTGCAGCCCTTCTGGCGGCTGCAACTGCTGCATGAGGTGTCTCTGCTGCTGGCGTCTCTGCTCTTCTTGCAGCAGCTGCTGCTGCTGCTGCAGCCCGTGCTGCTGCTGCAGCCCGTGCTGCTGCTGCTGCAGCTGTGGCTGGCTGTGCAGTTCTGTCTGGATGCGCGGATAATGCAGAGACTGCGCCGCAGCGTCAATGGCTGCCGTGTCGTCCAGCTGCTGCTGTCTCTGACGCAGCAGCTGCTCAGTGCCCTCCCTCCACTGCTGCTGCTGCTGCTGCTTCTGCTGCAGATCGCTGCGCAGCAGCGGCGCATCAGGAGCTCCCAGTTCGCGCTGTCCATGCTGCTGCTGCTGCTGCTGCTGCTGCTGCTGCAGTAGCGGCTGCTGCCACAGGCAGGCGGAGGAGGCCTGCAGGAAGTCTGGACTCCAACCGCTCGCCATTGCGTTCTTTTGTTGTTGCTCATGCTGATTTTGTTGCTAGTCTTGCACGAGCGAGCAGCCCTCTTGATCATGCGTGCGTTGCTCCTGCTGCTCCTGCTGCCGCTGCTGCCGCAGCTTCAGGAAGCGTGTTTGCCCGCGAGTGCGAATGGTGCGGCTGTCTGTGTTCGAATATATATGCATACACCTCAAGGGAGAAAGAGCTCTGTTGGTAGCCTGCATGCACCGTTCACGGTGACACCTCTTCGCGGAGCCTGCGAGGAGCAGCGCTCGAGGAAGCACAGATAAGGCCTCCTCGTAGATGACAGATGCCACACAGCGAGCCTTTTGCAGTGTGCAAACAGACGGACTACTGGAAGACGATCTCAGTGCAGAAGTTGTTCTGAGAAACGATCCTCCTGCTGCCGCTGCCGCTGCTGCTGCTTCTCTGTCGCACGGGAAAGCCAGAGAGGCCGACCGCCTCTTCTGTGCTATCTGATGGCGCTAGAGGCGATGATCAATGCCGAACCGACCGAGAGGCAGCAGCGCAACCATCAGCAACAAGAAGGATACGCCCTAAGCCAGCGTTGCTGCTAGTCTCCGCGATATTGCTGCTACCGCAGCGCCCGTGTGTACAGTCCAGATGCCCTTAAAACGTAGGCAATGCATATCAAATGCATATTCCCAGTGGTAATAGGGTCGGTGGCCGTGGACAGCAGCTGCAGCCACCAACCGCAGCCCGTACTGCTGCTGCAGCTACTGTCTGTACACCCGGGTGTTGCTGCACTCTGCTGCTACATCTGTGGTTAACGACGTTCCATTCTGCATATTTGCCTTCACACGTTGCAAATAAAGTAAGAAGCGTCGTAGGGTCTTCAGCAACACACCCATATTCCCGCCACACCCGCCGCAGCAGCAGCCTCCGCCGCTAAGGCGAACCTCTGGGGATGGTCGCACAGGAAGCGGGAAAAAAGTCGAAAGGAGCGGTGTCTGCGAATATATCGGACTGCCGTATGATGGCTGCTAGGGTACTCGTGTTGCTGCTGCCTGCGCTGCTGTGGCTTCGCCGCTTCTTCCTGCACTGCTCGAATCTCACAGGCACTGTGCAGAAGGGGTGTGGCTGGCGAGCAGCAGTCCATGAGTCCTCTGCGTGTTTCTGCTGCTGTACTGATCTAACGACACGGGATGTCGTAGCATCACGCGCATGGCCTGCTGATGCGGCTTCCTCAGGAAGCCTAAGCCTCTCGGCACTAGGTAGGTATACGAAGCCAGTTGCACTTGGGCGACTCATGCCTCGCTGTTTCCTCTTGACGAGAGTCACTCAGAAGTAACTAATGGACTGAGCCCTTCGTGGGGGCTGCTAGCTCCTGATCAGGGCACGCCGATGTTGTGCGCTGAAGATGAACGCCTGGTGTCGTCCGAGCCAAACTGTTGCATGCGCATATACGCTAGGCCTCCAAGGCTGCAGCGACCCCTACACCTGTGTTTCTGTCACTCTTCGGATGCTGCATTACTGTGGGATACGCGCGTCTAGCCTTTGCAGCGACCACAAATAAATACCCCGTCTATCCGGTGCACGGAATATTCTCTGGTCAAGCGTCCCTCTCCCCCGCCCCCCTCCCTGCATGCGCTGGCTTTGAGTTATGAGAGCCGTTAACGAGGGAGCAAGCATGGGCACGGTAGACTGCAGATCAGGGAGCGTTCGAACCGTAGTGTGTACATGCAGCGAGTGAGGCACTTTTGCACTAGGGATATGCGCTTTCGGGGCGTTCCCAAGTTGGTTCAAGAGTGAGGATCTTCTTCGCACTCTTGTCTCTATTAGCATGCTCCCTAATACCGCCCGCCTGTGGGTAGATCGGTCTAAGCGTGGGAGATCTTCCTCGCACTCTCGTCTGTCTGCATATGCTCCCTAATGCTGCCCGTGAGTAACCCCCGAAGGGGCTGTATTGGCGAACGACACGCAGTTCGCTCACTGGAGGGAGGCTGCTGCGTGCTGCCATACAGACAAATCTGAGGGTGGCTGCGAGAGTCCTCGCATATGACGCCTGCAAGGCGTCTGTCAGTTACACTGTGCCCTGCCTGTAACAGCCTGATACGACGGCGGCAAGTGCGCTGAGGCACGAACAGCAGAAGAACCCGTTTGTGAATATACTGGGGAGCTTTTTTAGCGCCTGATAGCGTGAGTGTGTGGCGTGTACATACTACTGTGGAGTACCTACAGCCCGGTCAGGTGAGCCTGTGTGATGAAGCGGTTGATGGAATGCGGCTGAGGTGCCTGCGACGCGAAGAGGGCGACCAGCGCGCATGCAAAGCGCCTAAAGGGGCTTCTGGAAAGGTGTGGAACTAACGGCGCAGTGAGTGACAGCCAGCCAGACACCTGATGGAGACACTACGCACGACAAAACAGCAGTGGCGCCTTGTGCCCCCGTCAAGCCTAGCCTTAAGCCCACACCCCAGAGAAGTGTGCCTGGAGCGGTAGCGTATTCACTGCTTAGGGGAAAAGCGGGTGTAGGCTTAGCCTCGCTCTGGCGAGACAGCAGCTCCCGAACGCAACTCGTTTCCACGACCACCAACGAGCGCCGAAGCAGCGGCTGCAGGGCAGCGCATGCCTCAATCGATTTCTAACTGCAGAGACGATTGAGGAACAAAGAAGAAGGAGAGGCCTCCCCCACCCACTTCGACAGAGACGCTCGCACGGGGAGCCTCAACAGCGCCTGCAGACTGCAGCAGCTACATATCCGCCTCATCCTGAGTATCTGTTAATTCAAGCATCTCTTCCTCTTCCTCCTGCAGCACACAGAATCTGCGGCTTGCACCGCGCAGAACGGTGGGAGAAAGCGACCACTGCTGCCGCAAACAACGGCAGGCAGTCGCAGCCGCCAGAGTGTGGGTGCTATGTGGGGGGAGGGAGACGGAGGAAAGCGCGCCTCGAACTCACCTGCCTCTCTTGCTGCAGCTGCAGCTGCTCGTGGAGTCTCACTTCTTGCTGCTCCTCCTTCAAAGCCGAAAAATCTTTCGGACTGAGGCGCTGCGCATCCGGAGGAGAGGGGCCTCCAGGTTGCCACATGCGCTGCCACAGGCGTTGCAGCAAACTAGGAGTCACAAACGCATGCGACACTGCTTGCTCGAACGCCTCCGCATTGGCAGCCGCCAACTGGCAGTGAGCCCCTTTGTTCAGCAAAAAGGTAGCCCTGCAGCAGCCCGTGAAGTCGCACAGAAATTTCGGCTCGGCAGCGATGGAGAGGCATGCAACGGCTGCGGAGGCAGCGCCGCCAAGCAGCAGCGAAGTCAGCTGAATGCACGACAGCAAGAAGAAGGGAGGAAGGAGGGCTGCCTGCAAGGAAGAATGGCTGCACATGTAGCCGTGCAACGACAGCGAGGAGGCAGCTGACTTTGGACGCTTGCATTCTTCGAGCAGCAGCAGCTCCTGCTGCAGCAAAGGCCAGGCTTGAAGCCTGTCCTCTTTGCTGACGAGAATTGTAGTCATGCTGCTCGCGAGTGATCCTAAGGAAAGACAGGCGCGGAGTCTGCGAAGCTCTGCCGATTTTCTGCAAGACGCAAAACACGCAGCACAGCCCGTGCGAGAGACCTCGCTTGGCAACAAGCGTAAGAAGAAGAGGTGACGAAGCACCGTTTATTTTCTTACGCATCTGCGGCAGCTGCCACACGCCTGTGCGCGGCGTAGCTGCCGCCTCTGCACTCGCAAACGCTCCCCCCCTCAGCCTTCTGCCGACTAAACAGACGTGGAGACATCAGCATGCATGCATGCATGCCTTTTACCGGCTGCCAAGCCCCCAAGCGAGGTGTTGAAACAGCAGCAGCACCGAACGCGCGAGACGTCGGATGGACGGCTGCTGCTGCAGCAGCGAGCGTGCGCTGCATATGGGGGAATCCAGCAACACATGCTGCAAAGTCACTCCTTGCTGCCTCATCCAGTCCCCCTCTGCCGCCTGCATACAAAGCAGCGATCTCGCAAAACACGAAGGCACAGATTCATGACCAATTCGGCTGCTTGCGCGCCTCTTCAGCGGCCGTATAGATATATATATATCTATACATATATATGCATATATATATATATATGTATATATAGGCACTCGCGTATATACTTATACACTCGCGTATATGTATATGTATGTATAGACACTCACGTATATATATATATATATATATATATATATATATATATATATATATAGACACTCACGACCTTATAGCCCATGCGATGGTCAACTCAGCGCAGCTGAATGAACCCGCATTGCTGGAATTCAGCGCGAGCAGCTACGCAGGATTTTTCCCTGGTGTCTGCACACGGGGGCATTAAAATGTTGCTCTCCGCCCTGCATGCTTGCAGCGCGCATCGAGCGCTGCTCAATATGTCGTCCAATCCACAGCCTTACTCACCGTGAGCAGCAGCACTCCCATGGCAGAACCTCCCTGCGCATAGATGCCGATGTTGTCTACTTGAAGATGCGATCTCAAAAACGCCACAGCCGCTCGCAGATCCTCTCTCGCATCCACAGCCAATTGCGACACTGCCCCCTCAAAAGGCCAGCTGCTGCAGCTGCTGCTGCTGCTGCTGCTGCCTCCTCGAGCACCTTCCCGTGTTGCACTCGCAGCCGCTGCAGCAACTGCTCTGCGCACAGTAGGGGAATCTCCGCTGCCCCTTAAATCCAGCAACAAAATGTGGTGGTCTCGATGGAGCTTGAGCTGCGGCGGCATCAGCATTCGCGTTCCCAACGACAACAATCGCAACAACAGCGCCTCCAGAGCAGCTGCTCAGCAGAAACGCCTCCTTCCCTTTACTCCGACCACGCGCAACAGCAGCAAGAGCAGTATCAGCTACTACAGCAGCACGAAAGCAACAGCAGTATCAGCTGCTACAGCAGCACGAACAGCAACAGCAGTATCAGCTACTACAGCAGCACGAAAGCAACAGCAGTATCAGCTGCTACAGCAGCACGAAAGCAACAGCAGTATCAGCTACTACAGCAGCACGAAAGCAACAGCAGTATCAGCTGCTACAGCAGCACGAACAGCAACAGCAGTATCAGCTGCTACAGCAGCACGAACAGCAACAGCAGTATCAGCTGCCACAGCAGCACGAACAGCAACAGCAGTATCAGCTGCTACAGCAGCACGAAAGCAACAGCAGTATCAGCTGCTACAGCAGCACGAACAGCAACAGCAGTATCAGCTACTACAGCAGCACGAAAGCAACAGCAGTATCAGCTGCTACAGCAGCACGAACAGCAACAGCAGTATCAGCTGCCACAGCAGCACGAACAGCAACAGCAGTATCAGCTGCCACAGCAGCACGAACGGCAACTACAAAGCGACAATGATCGATCTGGCTTACGTTTTTGGCAGCCTCCACAAAGGGTAGGCAGGCCTGGCGGTTCGATAGCCATCCGTGCATGCAAATAATTGCCTTTTTGCTGCTGCTCTGCTCAGCAGGAATCAACCATCCCCTTAGTTGTAGTTGCTGCTGCTGCTGTTGCTGCATCTGGAGGAGTTGCTGCTGCTGAAAGACTTGCTGCTGCTGTTGCTCTTGCTGCTGCTGCTGTTCAGACCCCACAGCCGCCTTCTCCTGCAACGCTGCAAGGATATCAGTTGGTGCCGCCTCTTGCTGAGGCATCTCGCGCTGGCAGCTTCTCTCCATGGATCCCCAGACAGCAGCCTCCTCCGTGGGAATTTTCACCTGAAGCAAACACAGCAGCAGTTCTCTGCCTGCCACACAGCCGCCTTAAACGCTCTAGCAGCAGAGACTGCGGCAGCAGTCTGCACGCTAGCAGCCATAGATACATCAGGCTTCTCTTACAGGACGAATTTCCTCCCTCTCTAAGCGTGGGCGTAGCAGCCAACCAGTAACATCTTTTTCGACCCCCTCCCTCCCCTCCCTTTTTCCCTTATCCTTCCCATATATATATACAAATACATATAAATATAAATATATATATATATATCAGGGGAGAACATACTTCACTGAACTCCAACCCGTAGATCGCGGGTGTCGCCCCCGCGGGCAGATGCAATTGCCTGCAAACAACAATAACCGCAACAACCCCACCAGCGCCGCATGCAGTGTCCAGTGCACAAAGTTTGGCATCGAGCACCCATCGCCAAACTCTGAAATTTCAGCGAAAGGTTGCACTGCCACACATAGATACACATACACATACACAAGCATTGCGCATAGCGTGTGTTTGACGAGCTACCGGCTGAGCGAACAGGTGCATGCAGCGAAGGAGGCAGCCGCAGTCGTTGTCTCACTGCAGAAGAAAGGGATCATCTAATCGGACGCGCGCTAGCGGCTCCGCAATACCCCAGGAGCTGCAGAGGGGCAGCAAAACAGCGGCAGAGAGCAGGTGCATGCGGAGCAGGCTGCCAATACACTGCAGCGCCAGTCTTCCTACAGACCGACCAATGACGCGTAGTTCGGGTTCATGCTGCCGCAGCTGCATGCAAATCTGCAATCGCCACGGCAGCGCAAGGCAGAGAATGCGCAGAATACGCTCAGAACGTGGTAGCTAAGCACGGTTGCCCTCTAGAAAGGCTGCATAACTATATATATATATATACGTATATACATATGTAGATGTATGTCTATACTTATAATATATGTCATATATATGTATATATACATACGTATACGTATCCCTCTCTCAGCAGCAGGGAAACGCGGCTGTCGTGAAAAAAAAACAAAATCACGCGCAGCCTACCTGATCGTGCAGCAGTCTCAGTGCGCCCTTGGCTTTACGCAGCAGAGCGCAGTAATTCTCGTGGCTTGAAGGAGTCTCTAGAGAAGGTGGGGAGGGGGATGCCTCGTCCTCCGCAGCTTCTCTAGCAGCCTTGCTGAAGCTCCATCGCGATGACAGGCTGCCTAGCCGAGCTGCAGGTAGGGGGCGAACAAGAGGCTTTCTTCTGGAGGTGTCTCTCGCAGGGGGTGTTGCTGCACGTGTCTGTGGGAAGACGGACGCTCCGTGTGGGTGAGGGAGGAGGACGGTTGCAAGCTGCATGCGCTGCGAATCCGAGGCAGGTGAAACGCCTGCTGCATTTGCAGGCGAAAGATCTCGATGCCTTCGAAGGAGCGCTGGCGCGTGCAGAGTTGCTGCCTGTCCTCCCCTGGCTGCCACTGACACACCAACAAGATGTCTTGCTGCCAGCTGCTCTGCTGCTGCTTGCAGCGCCAGAGGCCGCTGCGTAGACGCCAGCAGCAGCAGCAGCAGCAGCAGCAGTGGCTGCTGCTGCTGGAGCCGCATCAGAGCAGCGCCAAGAGGCTGGGATCGAAGTGTCTTCTGCCGTTACTAAAGTCTGTGCAGATATCGCGTTCTTGGGGATGCTGCTGGATGTGCTTCGTCCGCTGCTGCTGCTGCTGCTGCTGCTCCGCCTGCTGTTGTCAGAGTCGATGCGGGACGGTGGGTGTTTCGGGTGTACAGACACCCCCGGCGCGAGATCGGACGGCCGTAGACAGACAAACGGCAGCCGCTCGGCGGTTGCTTCTGCGGCAAAAACGAGTTAAAACCTTTAAATACACATGAAAAATACATTCAAGACAAGGGGAAGACGCAACACAGCTGCCACTCCCTGCTCCTGCTGGTGCTCGCTGGCAAGGGCCTGACCAGGGAGGCGGCAGCGGTGGCTGCGCACAAGTCTCTTCCAGCAGCGCAGATTTTGCATGCATGCAGCCGCTGCAGCCGCTGGGCTGCATGCATGCAAAATCTACCCGCCTCAACGTTCCGTCGAGCCTTAATTTGGACAGCCTTCATGCTTTTGCTACGCGCTGTTTCCAAAAGGCGGTACAGGGCAGCACTGCGTGCCTGTACAGCCGGTGCCTCTGAAGCCGCCGCTGCCTCCGGCGCAGCCGCTCCAGCCTTCTCCTCCCGTAGAAGCGCTGCTGCTCGCAGAGTCGGCTGCACTTGACGGTGTTTTTCTTTCGTTCTGGACCCCCTCAAAGGCGTATCCAGCGCTCTTTGCAGATTTCCCGCTCACCTTTTCCCTTCTGGCTCGCTCCGGCGTCTGAAACGGGGGAAAAGGGGCCTCGTGCAGGGGTAGCATCCGCACAGAGCATTTGAAGGCAGGAGTCAACTTGAGGCGTCTCTTTTGACGCCTCCTCCCCCTCCCCCGCCGACAGGCAGCTACACAGACGCATACACGTACTCCTATACTTCCAACAAACCGATACCAAGAAACCCACCCATACACCTATCTATACATACACACTCACAGACACAGAAATACATCGGGGGGGGACACATTTTGCCAAGAATGATGATGCTCCGCGCAGTCCGTGTTTCCCAGAAGCGACTGTTGCTTACACAGCGTCACATGCTGCAGCAACACGTGGGATATGCGTCTTCGTACGATGTTTTCAAGAAGATTCAAGATCCTCCTTCTGAGGAGGAGTCGAAGAGTCTGGCTAGGAAGCCCTCTGATAAGGTGTGGTTGCCATCTCCCTACGCGGCTGTACTGCTGGAGTGCCTTTACTGCAGCCTTTTTTTCACAGCGGGTGCCTTGCATGCAGGCTTGAAAAGAGTCTCTCCTACTGTTACAGATACCGCCTCGCGCTTTCCCGCTGCGGATGTCGCAGGTGTTGCGGTTGGTAGACGAAGTGATGAGTCTAACCCTCGTGGAGGCAGCAGACTTGTGCGATCTCTGCCAGGAGAAGCTGGCTCAGAGAGGAGGTGGTACAACACCCCCACACCCCTTTTCTGTGCTCAAGAGGCTGCAGAGGCAGTCGGTATTCTACGAGGCATGAAGTCATATTCGTCCCTCTGCTAATGCATTGCGCGCAGCTCCTACTTTCAATGCGGCGATGACTGCTGGTCGAGCGCCTTTCCCTCATCCTTCGAGTCTTTTCGCCGGAACGATGATGCAGCAACCTATGGGGTAGCTTCCTAGCGCTTCTCGCCTCTCGCTGCGCCTACCTCCCCTTCTCCCTTCATCGCAGCACTGTCTTCGCACGCCGTTCTCTAGCAGTCCTCCCCGACTTGCTGAGCCTTCGCTGCTGTGCTTTGCGCGTGGGCTTTCTAAAAGCTTTCCAGAGAGCAAGAGGCGCCTTACCGCGAGCGGCAAGAATCCTACAGAGCGAAGGGCACGTCATTAGTGCGCAGACCGTCTCTCTCTCCGTTCGACGCGTGGACTGCTGCTACTGCTGTCTCTGCGACTGCACTTTCCTGTTGGCGTACAGATTCGCTCCTCCTGGATTTGGTAATGGAGCTGGCTTCTCCCCCCCTCCCGCAGCTGCGGAGGCATTGCCATTATCAGCAGAAGGTGCAGCGGCAGAAAACGCTTCCAAGCCTTCGCCTGCGAAAGGTGTGTGCACGTGCGCAGTGGAAACATTTGCATGTACTCACGCATCAACATATACACACACATCAACATACACACATACATCACCACATTCACATACATACTACTCATAGAAGATGTTTGCATCCGCATACATACTTGTATACACAGCGGCACCTCCCTCCTTCCAGCGCATAAATATGCCCACCCTCCCCCCTCCGTCCGTACACGCGGCTAGAGGCAGCTGCGTGTACAGCAAATGCTTCCATCCTCCTCCCGTGTGTCTATCCGCCTCCTTCCCCCCCTGTGTGTTGTGTATACGCAACTGCTTTGCGCGTCCTTAATGACTGATCTATGTCTTGGAAGATACATACATATATGTAGCGATACAGAGGGAGAAAGAGAGAGAGAGACAGAAAGGGATATACGTACATAAATTGCGTGTCTGCGTGTTTATGTGAGGGGCGAGTGCGGTACCCTCTGTGTTCTTCAAGCTTTTTCCGTATTGGTGGCTTTCAGCAAAGCCTCCTCATGTTGCTTGAACGTAGCGCAGCATCATTCAACGGCGTTTTCTAATTTCCTTGTGCTTCTCTATCTACACGCGGTTTGCTGCTTCCAGCCTCCCGCTGCAAGTTTTACCGCTCGCTTCACGCGCATGATGCAGCAGTACCTCCGCAGCGCCTTATGGGTCCAGGCTCTTCAAACTGCAGCAACCCCGGCAAACGTGCTCCTGCGCATGCAGTAATCTATGTCGGGGATGCATGCGTCTGTGTGTCTTCTCAGAAGAGAAGAAAGCCACTTGCTGCGTACGGCTCTTAGGCTTTGATTGCAGCAAAAAGGTGGTTGTAGTAAAGGAGGTTCGGGCGATCACCGCCCTGGGCCTAAGAGAGGCTAAGGAACTCGTAGAACAAGCGCCGAAAATCATCAAAAAGGGTATTTACATATATATATATGTCTATATCTACGTATCTGGTCTTCTTTTTCTTCCCCGATTTTGAGCGTATTGACGTGGACATACACATATGTTGTTATATATACATAAATATGTATATACAATAACATGTGTGTATATACACGTTAATGTGCTTAAAATCGGGGAAGGAAAAGTCTTCGCGGATACCTGTATATGGGCTCATCTCCCTGCTGCACAGTGCCTGGCGCGTTTTGGCCTTTCTTGTTGTTGAAGTGTCTCTACACGGTGCTGAGATGCTGCTCTTTAGTGCGTGTGCTGTTTGCTGTTGCCTTCGCGTTTGTTGCTGTTGCCGTCGCGGTTTGCACGTGTTGAGCGTTCTTGTGCGTATCTTCGCGGCTCCGGAAGCAGGCGTTTTGCTGATGCCGCCCCTTCTCTGAAGGTTGCAGTCGCTGCTCGCGTTTTTCCTGCTGCTGCAGCGGTGCCATCCGAGGAGGCTGCAGCGATGAAGGCGAAGCTGGAAGCAGCAGGGGCCCAAGTGGCACTGGAATAGAGGACGGGCAGGGGCGGACAAGTGAAATTCTCAGTCGCGGCGGGGAAAGCCGATTTCCCTTGCTGCGAATATGTGTGTTTCTTTTCCGCGCACATGATGAGTGCGAGTGTGGGCTCTTCATCCAACCACTTCGGCTGCGCCTGTTGGTCTGCCGTCCTCCCGCCTTTCCCCGTCATTCCGTTCCTATCATGCTTTAAGGCTAGTAATGGTATCCGCATCGACTGCACGTTGTCGCCTCAGTAGAACACAGCGCAGCCTCCCTTCCCCATCCTGCGCAACTCCCTCCCCTTCTGCTTGCAGTTGATACGGTACGCTCTTTGGGGGGAATGCATTCAGAATGCTGCCCCTACATGCGAGTCGAGATTAGCGTTCGCCCCTCACGGCAGGCAGCAGCCGCAAGTATTCGAGCGGCAGAAACATTGCACGATGGTGATGGAATGTGCGTCTGAACGCGGCTGTGAGAAACCTTCACTATAAATTGCAGCGCAGTTTGGCACATAGATTTTCTTTTGGCTCACACTGTTGTTTCTTATACAAAGAGCCGATGCGGAGGCTGACCCGCGCTCTTAGAACTCCGTCTTCAGGCATGTAGGTCTCCGCAACATTGCAAATGCCTCTTTAGCCAGTTTTCTAAGCACGGCTTGCGGTATTAGCTCTTGAATCGCACACACACACAGACACACACACACGCACACACACACACAGACACACACAGACACAGACACACACAGACACACACACACACACATACATACATACATACACACTATATCCCACAGATTTGGCGGCATATTAATACATGTTAGCTCTTACTGCTCTGCAGAAGCTGGACTAGCCGGCTGGCGCAGGCGCACTTGTAGACACATAGCTTCCCCTGGGCCTTGTGTACTCCCCTAGACAGGTTAAAGGAGCGTCGAGCAAGGCACTCCTTCACGTCTGTCGTTGTCGGTACAGCTGCCCCTCTGCGAGCTCCTGCCTTGTGGAGGGCGGTTCGCCGCTGTTCTAGCACGTGCTGCAGATACCCTAGCAGCAAGCCTTCCCCCGCACTATCTGGCCAGGGGCAGCAGTTGAGGAGCCACCAAAATCGAAGGCAGGCAGCAGTTGAGGAGCCACCAAAATCGAAGGCAGGCAGCAGTTGAGGAGCCACCAAAATCGAAGGCAGTACGTGACGGGGAGCTTGGAAGGAGCGCAGTGCGCTGGTAGCAGCAACGGCTGCGGTCGTTGAGGCTGCAGCAGAAAACTGTATTCTAAAGACCGCTCCCCGTACAGCGGCTGACCAACAGCCTAGCCTCAACGGCTCAGTCCCCTATAGCCACAGTTTGGATATTACGCTTCTATTCGCAGCAGTTGCAGAGACTACTGTGGTCGCTGCTGGTACTGCAGGGATGGCCAACACCCCCAGGCCTCTTACTGACACACCACTCTCCATTCCAGTGCAGGGGGAGCATACACCCCGTCCTACCACCCCCCGCGTACCCCCCCCGCAGCAGCAACTGGCTCTGCTAGAGCGGCTGCAAAGGCGCAACAAGGATGAGGGGCAGTGCGCAGCACGCGATGGCGTGCGTGCCTGAAAGCTACGAACGAGGGGGCTCTAATCGCCAGGCCAAACAATAGCACTCCCCGCAAACCTCACACCCGCCATACCAGCGCCGCGAAAACTGTCTTTTGTTCGCTTGGCTGCCGAATCGGCTACTGGTGCACCACATGCAACGAACTGAAGGGATTCGCAGTCTCCAGAGATACGCTTCGGAAGTCTAGCCTGGCTGCTGCACGCCAGCAGACCGCAAGGCTCTTCTCCTCCGGCTCGCTTGGTCACTGCATCCGCTTCCGCTGCTGGTGCGGCTGCCTACTTGCGACACAGCCCAAGGAGGCCCCTCTTAACGCTTGGCTCGGCAAAGCGTAATTGCGAAACCGGCACTCCCCGCTGCGTCATGGATGGGCATGTTTCGCTCATTCGGAAAGCAGTGCGCCAACGTCTGCCCTCCCCTCTTTCGGTGGCACCGCAACTCTTAGCAAAGCCCAGGAAAGGACGAAATGCCAGTAAAATGCAGTGTGTCGCTCTAAGACCAAACTCCTCGAGAAACTACATGGTCTAAGCTGTATTAGAAAAAGAAACAGTTGAATAGGCTCACTCTGCAGTCCCTGTTTCGAAGCGTACGAGCGTCGTCCTACGAGGAAATAACCCTAGCAGTGAACCTACTACGGCAATATCTAGCCCACTGCCAAACGCCTAGAGGGACGGCGGAGTATGCTAAACTAGAAAAAAGTGCAATTCGAGTCGCAGCAGGTGCGACGGCCTTACAGATCTACTCAGCAACATACTCTAAAATTTGATAATTCTAGTGAACGCCCACAGAATGCTCGAGCGGCATCACGCAAACGCAAACAAGGATCGCCAAAAAAAGTTTTTTCTAGAAAAGCCTCTCTATCCTCATTTTGTGTTGCCTCCCCACTACCCAGCCAGCATCTCAAGAAAAACGCTGCACGCATGCATGCAAGGCGTAGTTAGGCACAAGAGGCCTCTGTCAAATCTTCTCGAGAACTAACGGGCTCCTCCCGTAATGCACAGTGCGCCGCCAAGCGTCCCGCTGCCTCTGTGTTGGCTTTGCTGCTGCTGCGGGAAGCTGCCAAGACGTTTCGCAACACTGCTAGCGGCGCTGCTGTGATTGAGAGAACGCTGCTTTCCCTGTCCGTCAGCATCCGCATTGCTTGCGAGACCACGTAACAGACCCTGCAGCAGCAGCAGCAGCAGCAGCAGCAGCAGCAGCTGACGTCAGAACCGCTGCCATCGATCGAGCACGTTTCGAAGCATGCAAGCAAATAGCACCAACACCAGCAATCTGTTGTTGCGGACAGAAAGGAGCCCGCCGCACTGGCGAGTCCGCAAAGGCAGGTGACTAGTGCGCGCATAAGTAGCCTTCAAAAACGGAAGTCTACGAGGCGATTTTCACAAAAACGAGGCGCCAGCAGCCGCTGCACACAGACTGACCATGATCCGTAAAGATCCTCTCCTCCCTAGCGTCCTTCACAGGCACAGCGGCCTCGCCAATCGAAAGGGCGGAGACAGACACCGCAGAAGCAGCTGCAGCAAGAAACAAGAGAGAGCGCAACAGCAAAGCCACTGCCACCCCTCACAGGCACTGAGAAGCTTCACCATAAAAGAGCAGTAGCAGCAGCAGCAGGAGTACTAGCAGCAGTAGTAGCAGTAGTAGTAGTAGCAGTAGCAGTAGTAGCAGTAGCAGTAGTAGCAGCAGTAGTAGTAGCAGCAGTAGCAGTAGTAGCAGCAGTAGTAGTAGTAGCAAGAAACAAGAGAGACCGCCACAGCAAAGCCACTGCCACCCCTCACAGGCACTGAGAAGCTTCACCATAAAAGAGCAGTAGTAGTAGTAGTAGTAGTAGTAGTAGTAGTAGTAGTAGTAGTAGCAGCAGCAGTAGTAGTAGTAGTAGCAGCAGAAGCAGTAGTAGCAGCAGTAGTAGTAGCAGCAGTAGCAGTAGCAGCTGCAGCAAGAAACAAGAGAGACCGCCACAGCAAAGCCACTGCCACCCCTCACAGGCACTGAGAAGCTTCACCATAAAAGAGCAGCAGCAGCAGCAGTAGTAGCAGACGCGCAAGCCTCTCCCCGTGTCTTAGGAGGAGGGGGCAGACTTGAGTGTGCCAAGCTACAGCAGAGCGAAAAAATAGCAGCACCAACAACAACACACTACCTGGAGAGGCTTTAAGTTCTGCTTGCCAGACGGCGATTTGTTGTGCCTCGCTGTCGTTGAAAATGTCTCTGCAGACACAAGCACGGTGCCGAATCGCAGCCTTCTACCTCAGCCCCCTCCATACACACAGCATGCCCTCTCTGCCGCTGCTGAGAAGTCGCATGCAGACAGCGCTCAAGCGGCAGCAGCAGTAGCCGTTGCAGGAACCCCTCAGAAAAAGCAGAGCCAACAAATGCGCAGTTACACTTGCCGGTGTCTGTACGCCAACTGGAAAAGCTGCTCGACTGACGCGCGTGCCCATGGTATCTACAGGCAAAACAAGGAGGCAAAAAGACTCGAAAAAACTCAAAGACACGCGCACAACAACTCTGCAACGGCAGGAGGTTTTCTCAGGCCAGAGACTCCGCAACAACAACCGACCCAGCGCTTAAAAGATATCCCCCTATCCACCTCCGTATCCACGCCAATCTAAATATAAAGCCTCTAAGCTGCTGTGCTGTAGACTCTAGAGGCAGCGCACCGTGCGAAACGAAAAAACTGTGGAGAGCGCATCAAGAAAGAAGCACTTGCTAAGCACCAAGAGCGACTGCCTCCTGTATGACGCATGCACCCACAGACACATACACGTGCACATACACACACACACACACACACACACACACACACACACACACACACACACAGACACACACACACACACAGACACACACACACACATACATACACAGACACACATCCGATGCCGTTTGCATCCGAATCTACTTCCTTCACGCACAATTAGAGTCACAAGCAACCTGCAGCTGCAGCAGAATCTTTCTCTCTCCCTCCCTCAAGTCCGCTGCAACGTTCAATCAAAGCGACTCAAAGGATTGCGAATTCTGCGGGGTTAAGGAAAGGAAACGCTGCTGTACCCCGTAGGCATAGGCCATGCCTCTTCTGCTCCTTCTGCTTCTACAGACGCTTCACAGGCACCATCGGCTACTGCTCCTTCTGCTTCTCCAGACACTTCAGAGGAAGCAGCACCATCGGCTACTGCTCCTTCTGCTTCTCCAGACACTTCAGAGGAAGCAGCACCATCGGCTACTGCTCCTTCTGCTTCTCCAGACACTTCAGAGAAAGCAGCACCATCGGCTACTGCTCCTTCTGCTTTTACAGACGCTTCAGAGGAAGCAGCACCATCGGCTACTGCTCCTTCTGCTTGGTTAGCGCCTTGAGCTGTGCTCGAATCTGACAGAGCACAATTGGCTGATGAGGCTGCTTGGTCTGCAGGAGCGCTTGAGGATTCTGTCCTCTCGATTTTGAGCGGAAAGAGCCTCGCATCGCTGCTGCGAAGGCTACGTTCTGCACAAGGGGGTGTTGCTTCTGCACAGTGCTGCTGCTGCTGCTGTAGCGGCTGCTCCCCCTGCGGCTGCTCTGGCAGCCTGGGGTGTTTTGGAAATCTGTCGTCTTCTGCGTCCATGTCTTCCTCTTCCTCTTCGTCGAAGTCATCGTCTTCTTCATCCTCCTCTTCGTCTTGCTGCTGCTGCTGCTGCTGCAGCTGCAGCAGCAGGTTCCGCAGCTCCGCAACGGCAGCGTTAAACTCGAAGGCGTCATCGGTCTGCAATTGTGGATGTATTACGCAGCGGATTCGAATGAGCTGCAGCAACTTCACTGTTTCAGCACTCAGTTGGACTGCACTGGAGCTGTGCTTGCTGCTGCCGGCTCCTAAGAAGGAATCCTCCCCAGAAGCATGCGTTGCAGCGGCAGCAGCAGCAGCAACAGCCGCTGATTGCTGCTGAGAGGCTGCTAGTTCAGCTCGCATCAGAGCAGAAGCAGCTGCTCCAGCAACATCCGCCGCAGCGGCTGCATTCGCACGAGACTGCAGCATTCCTCTTGCGCTGTTGCTGCAGTTGCTGCAGTTTCTGCAGTTGCTGCAGTTGCTGCTCGTGAGAGAAGGAAAGGCGGATGCGGCGAGCTGCTCCTGAATGCGATGCTGCTGGTGCTGCTTTCTAGCCTCTGCGAGGCGTCTGAAGGCTTCTGCCTTCTCGCCTTCTCGCTGCTCGTGCTGCTGCAGCAAGGGCATAACTCGCGTCTTGAAGAGCATCGACACAGCCTGCCTTCCCTGCGGATCTGTGTAAGCGAAGTCTGAAGAAGCAGCGGCTAGCAACGCAGACACGAACGGACGCCAGTTGCTGCAGCAGAAGTAAGCCTCCCACATCTGATGTAACAGCCGCACAGCTTTGCCGAATTTGCTCTTATTTCGAAAGTGCTTTTCCATGAGATCCTTTAGAGCAGTCTCAAGAGACAGGGGACCGCTCTTTGCTGCTGCTGCTGCTGCCTTCTGCTGCTGCAGCTGCTGCTGCTGCTTCTGCTTTTCCCTCTCCGACGGAAGGCGAATCAGCAGACGCTGCCGAGCTGCGCGTTCCTCAGGCAGCAGAATTTCACGCCGTTGCTGCTGCAGCATCTGTCGTCTCCGCTTTCGCAGTTGGAGGCGCTGACGGGCGTACACCCCATCCAGCAGCCTCTCTGCACGGGAGCGGCCTAGCAGCTGCGCTGAGTTGCTGTCTTGCAAAACGCGCGTAGACATCTTCAGAATCTAAAGCCGTAAGGGATCTTTTTCTGCCCATGCGCGTGATATACGACGAGGAGGGAGAAGGAGAAAAAAATCGCTTCTCAAAAAACGCAGAGGACTGACCCATGAAGCGGCTGCGTGTCTGATGGCGCTGACTGTAGGCTAGGGGAAGCAGCGACTGCAGCCAATCTTGCATAGAATGCAGAGGCGTAGCAGGAAAGGAGGGAGCGCTCGTATGCGCGTGCAGAAGAGACATGCAGGGGGGGGTGGGGGGGGGATACACAGCCGATGAAATGGTACCCGCTATGAAAGAAACGCTTCCCAGCACTTCTCTGCGGAGGGAGAAAGGCTTCGTTTGCCATTCAGACTTGGCAGCTGAGTCCTCTTTTACTGCGCATCTACAGCACACGCGCATGCTCCTCGTGAGAAGGTGTTGGTGCCAGTTATCACCGATCAGCGGCAGTGCATGCTTTTGCGCGCTGATGGCGACGGCAGCGAAGACTTGGAGGCTCCGATCTTCCAATATAAGCGCTTCTGCTCATTCTGCCCTGAGAATTCTCTTTTTTGGGAATATTTCTTGAAACTCAGCGACATCTGCGGCGGAAGGCGCGAGTGCGAGGCTCCTGAAAAAGCCCCACACGGAAGGCGTAGCAGCAGCGGCGGCTGCATGAGCAGGAGCAGTCGCCGCGTATAGGAGGGATTTTTAAGCGGATTTTTTTGCTGATAAATCGCAGATGCAGAGAGGCGACGGGAGCTGCTAGGTCCTAGCTGGCCACGCCGTCGCTACGTTGCCTCAGCTGTGTCGAGGCGGCGCGAGGTAGAGAGGCAGGCCCTCCCCGCGGAGTGTATGTACATATAACATTGGAAGATGGCGAAAAAGGTGAAAAGCCGGTCGAAGGGCTTTCGGGGGAAGCGGAAGAAGGGCGGAGGCATGTCTCTGCTGAGTCGGTACGAGGCTGCAGTGGAGTTGCAGCAGCAGCAGCAGGCACAGCAGAAGCAGCTCAAGAAGGAGCGCAAGAAGCAGGAGAAGGAGCAGCAGAAGCTGGAGCGGAAGCGACTGAAGAGGCAGCTGAAGGATCTTGAGCTGCAGCAGGAGCTGCTGCGGCGCCAACAGAAGAAACAGCAGCGGGAGGTTATTGCTCTGACCAAGCAGCAGCCGCAAGCGCGACTGCAAAGGCTGCTGCAGGTGATGTCTGCTGCCCCTTCAGGAGGAGGCTCTGCAGCAGCCTTCGCTGCTGCTGCCAAAGCGGCAGCTGCAGGAATTTGCGCTTCGGAATTTACGGCGCCAAGAGAGGAGCTGCTTAGCGACGCAAGCGAGTACGAGACACGTCAGAGTCTTGCCTCCGAAGAACAAGAAGAAGAACAAGAAGAACCCGATGGCGAAGATGAAGAGGACGCCAGTGATGCAGATGCGTCTAGATCGGAGGGAGGAAGAAGAACGATGGCGGCTGGAGAAGAGGCTCCAGCGTGTGTTTATGTTGATCCGCCTCAAGAAGAAGAGCCGGCAGGAGGCTGCGACACTTTCTCGGATGTGTCTGCAGAAGATCTTGGAGCAAAAGAAGACGATGCTGCAGCTGCTGCCGAACAAGCACCCAGAAGACGCAAGACGCAATCCTGGTTCGACATGGAGTCTTTTGGCCTTGCAGTGGCTGCAACTCGCCTCGCAGCTACAACGGGAGCAGCAGCAGCTGCTGCTTCTGCCGCTGCAGCCTCGTTGCTTCCGCCTTTCGACTTTGCCTGCACGTTCGATGAGGCTGTAGACGACGAAGTCGCCACAGCAGCCCGTAGGCTGTTTATCCAGCAGAAGCGCAGCGCTGCTGCGCGAAACAAAGGCAAAGGATCTGCGCCGAGCGATGGCAACAGCAGCAGCCTAAAAGACAGCACGAACGGCGCTGGATTGAGCCATTTAGATGCATGCATTGAAAGCCTCGCGGGAACGGCCTTTTGCCCCGTGTCTCTACGGCAGCAGCAACAGCAGAATCAAGTACAGCAGCAGCTTGAGGAAGTCACGTTGCAGCCTCCAGGCTGCGCATCATACTTCGTTCGCCTTTCCCGCATTACCCCCCGACCAGCTCTTGCGATGCCTGCTGCCTCTGCTGCCTCTGCTGCTTCTGCTGGTTCTGCTGCTGCCATACCTGGCGCACGCAGCACCAACAGCAGCACCAACAGCAGCACCACCAACAGCAGCACCACCAACAGCAGCAGCAACAGCAGCAATCACACCGCAAGCGGCAGCAAGACGTTCCTGGAAGGCGTTCTCGAACGGCAGTTCCCCACCGACCCTCTTGCGGTGTATGGACACCTTGGCTCCTTCCCAGTCGATGCCTATGGGGCTCCTGCATGCGTGGCAAGGGGCCTTCGGCGTTGTTTGGAGGCTGTGAGATCTCCTTTGTCAGAAGCAGACTTCCCGAGTTTGAGGATGGAGTGTGCAGATGGTCGCTGGAGCCTGCCACAGAGCTTGGCTTCGCTGTACCACTTGCTGCACAGCTACGCGGATGTGTGCTTCCCGCACGAGAACTGCTTCGCCACGCCGCAAGTGCGCTGTCTGCTCGCGGCGCATGCGATGCAGCACCTCCTGAAGGCCAGAGGCAGAGCGGCTGCTGCAGCGAGGCTTGCTGCAGTGCTCGGCGCCTTGCCGGATGCCTCGTCGAGGCAAGCGAGCCTCACCAGGGCAGCCTGCAAGGCCTCTTTCGACGATCTCCTGCTGCAGCACGACAAGCAGCAGCTGCAGCAGCAGCTGCAGACGCGCGAGTCACCCGTCCTAGCAGAAGGCGCCACAGCCGATGCAGCAGACACCTCGGAGGGAGACGCAAGCCTCGCTGCGGCTGCAGGCACTGCAGACGAACCCAGCAGCGCTGCCACAACAGAAGCAGCAGCAGCAGCAGGGGAGGAGCAGCAGCAGCCTCTGAGCGAGGCTGTCTGTGAGCAGTGGCTAGCAGAAATACAACAGGATAGCGGCTACACTCGGCCTCGTGTGCTCCTGCTTGCCCCCTTCCGATCCGCCGCAAAACAAGTCGTGGATGCTCTGTTACAAATGCTGCCAGAAAACTTCCAGGTTAGCAGAGCAGCAGCAAAAAATCAATTCTCGATGTTCATGAAAAAACGAGAAAAAGGGGGGTTGTTGCTGCTGCTTGCTTGCTCTCAAGAAGAGAGATGCGGCCCGCTGGGAAAATCTCTCAGTGCTGCATCCATGCGGCATCATCGCTGCTGCAGCGATGATGCTGCGCAACACTCTTTGCGTCTTTGATGGACCGTTTCTTCTTGGCAGTGATGCGCTTACGCTCTTGGCAGTGATGCGCTTACGCTCTTGGCAGTGATGCACTTACGCTCTTGGCAAGGATATGCTTACTCTCTTGGCGAGGATATACTTACTCTCTTGGCAGTGATGCACCTACTCTCTTGGCAGCGATGCACTTTCTCTCTTGGCAGTGATGCACTTCCTCTCTTGGCAGTGATGCACTTACGCTCTTGGCAAGGATATGCTTACTCTCTTGGCAATGATGCACTTTCTCTCTTGGCAGTGATGCACTTACGCTCTTGGCAAGGATGCACTTCCTCTCTTGGCAGCGATGCAGTACGGCTGGTGAGCGTGCGACTGCAGGTGCTCAATCGAAAGAGGTATACTGACGAATTCGGCGCAGCCGCTGGCGAGACAATACAGCAGCAACAACACACCTTCGCTAAAGCCCGTCGACCTCGCGATTTCATCGAAACTTTCAAAGGGGATAGCAGCGACAGTTTCCGTCTGGGTTTGCGGCTCTCAAACAAGGCGCTTGCCTTGTATTCTCCGTTGATTGAAAGTGACCTCATCGTGGCATCGCCTCTTGGCTTGCGTACTCTGACTGGCGCGAAGGTGGGGAGCCGTGTGTGGAGAGTGGTCATCTTCATTGCTGTGGAATTCCATGCTGCCCCCTCTTGAGGTGTTCGTGCTGTTGCGCTGTTGTGGGATTTATTTGGTGTGGACCCTGACCTTTGCGTGCTGTGTGACGCGCTGCTTCTGAGTTGACTCTTGCTTGCTTTTGTGTGTATGGCAGCGGGGGGAGAAAGGGGGAAATAAAAAAGCCTCTCGCTTGCGTTCCCGTGGCTGGAGTTCGGCTTTTGTGTAGAAATATTTGATGTTCGTCCTAGCCATGGAGTTGCCTATACATGGCCTTTGCGGAGTGTATGTATGTTTAGTGTGTGTGTATATATGTATACATAATTACAGGGGTGTGTGTTTGCGTATATATATATATATATGTGAGTGTGCGTGCGTATCTGTGCGCTTTAGGGAGAAAGCAACCGGAATTTCGACTTTTTGTCGTCTCTTGAGGTAGTGATGATTGACAGAGCCGATATCATCGCTCTGCAGAATTGGCAACTCCTTAAAGAACTTCTCGAGGTCAGCAAGTGATCCTGGTGCTTCCGAAATTCCTTAAGAAGCTGCGCACGCTGTTTTCCCTCTGTTGTGTATGTGCTTAGTGTGTGTGTATGTATACGTGCTTAGTGTGTGTGTGTATGTGTATGTATGTATATGTGCTTAATATGTGTGTGTATGTATATGTGCTCAATATGTGTGTGTATGTATATGTGCTCAATATGTGTGTATATGTATATGTGCTCAATATGTGTATGTATGTATATGTGCTCAATATGTGTGTGTATGTATATGTGCTCAATATGTGTGTGTATGTATATGTGCTCAATATGTGTGTGTATGTATATGTGCTCAATATGTGTGTATATGTATATGTGCTCAATATGTGTGTGTATGTATATGTGCTCAATATGTGTGTGTATGTATATGTGCTCAATATGTGTGTGTATGTATATGTGCTTAATATGTGTGTGTACGTATGTATGTATGTGTGTATGTGCTTAATATGTGTGTGTGCATGTATGTGTGTGCATGTGCCTCGTTTGTTGGTTTTGATGCTGTATGTTGATTGTTTAGGTCGCGAATTTGCCGCCTCAGGACTATACGTCCTTCGACATTCGGCGATTGCGGCCCTCAATGGCTGCCGCGTTGGGCTGTACAGACCGTCAGTTGGTGATATGCAGCAGCGGCAGAAGCCCGCGTTTGGGGGCTTTGCTGCATGCCTTCTCGTCGAATCGGCGAGGACGCATTGAGCTCTTTGATCCGCGACTTGCTGCTGCGTGCATGCCTTTGGATATCCCTTCCGCGGACTGTGTGGCTGCTGCAGCAGCAGCGGCAGCAGCAGCGCAGGAGGGCAAGCAGGGAGCAGCGTGGAAGGCAGCCGTCGCTGCTCTTGATGCTGCAGCAGCTGCTGCGTTGGAAGTTGCGAAAGCAGAAGCAGCCAAGGGGAAGCCGCGCGGCCTGGTGCCAGCAACGTTGCGTTGTAGCAGGGCAGGCGTCCAGCAGCTCTTCTGCCGCGTTGCATGCAGGGAATTCAAGCACGTGCAGCGTGTGAGACTCTTTGCGCATTTTCCCTTCTGACTTCTGCTCCTTCTAAGGACGTGTCTCTTAGCCGCTGCGTTCAGAGGCTTCTGCTTGGCTGAGCGCTTCCGTGCAAAAAAACTCTGTTTATGCCGGAAAAGTCTCTGACGATGGCAGGGGGAAGCGGGGGGAAGCGGGAAGGGAGGGTCGATCATGTGCGGTAGGAGCCCCCTTCCCCCAGCCTTCTGAGTCGAGGAAACAGGTTTGTCGAGTTGTTCACCGGAAGCTGCACGTCACAGGAGCTGCGGTTTGGACGTGGGGGTGTTTTGCATTCAGGCACTGATAGAGTACTTCTCAACTCAGGTTCTACCTGCCCTTGGAGGGGCCTCACGCCTTCTTATTGTGGTCCCTACCTTCTTGGAGCTCTGCAGGTAAGGATCTCGCGTTTGCGATTCGCGGAATGTTTGTTGAGCTGTTCTTTCCCCACTTGCATTGACGATTTGGGAACGCTCGCTGGCTCCTTTTCCCCCATTCTCCGTGATCTTTTGCAGTAGTGTTTATCAGCGGCGGGTGTGGCTGCCTATGCCGAGACGTTCCAGGGGAAGTTCCCATCGCCGCAGTAGGCATTAGCAGCTCGCGCAAGCTGCTAATGCCTACTCTCGGTGATGACGCAGCCTCAGTTCTACTGTCCATCCTCAAATGTGTGCGCAGACTGCGGGTGGCTCTGAAGGAGCAACGCGTCAGTTACAGCGTCTGCCACGAATATACGGCGAATGCCAAGCTTTCACGCGCACGCCAGCAGTTCCTCAAAGGTGCAGCAATCCGCTGGCGATGCTGCTGCTGCTTATGCTGCTGCTGTGCCGATGCTTGGAAGGCGAGCAGAATGAGGGACCAGACGGTGGACGAGGCACAATACCTCGCGTTGTCTAAGGGTAGCATGGAGATGCAAGACACAGCAAGGAGTGTACGCCGTTCAGATGCGCTGTGATGGTGATGGTGCTTCTGCTGCCGCTGCTTGTGCTGCAGGAGACGTGCCCCTGCTGCTGACAACAAGCCGCTTCTGCTTTTATCGGCGCTATCGCCTCTCCGGATGCCAGCGCATCATCTTTGTGGGGCCTCCATGCAGCCCTGAGGTGTACCTGCACCTGCTGACTGAGTCGTTACCGGCTGCCACTGAGGCTGCAGGAGCAGCGGCAGGTGCGACCAGCCTAGACTGCTCGGCGGAGAGACGCGTGGATGGCTCGGCATTGTGTTACTTCACCGGCTTTCAGCTGCAAGCGCTCGAAAGCCTCATGCCTATGCGTCAAGCTCTACAACTGCTGCAGGCCCCCCAAGGCCGAGTCGTATCTCTTTGCTAAGAAGCAAGCCAATGCAGCTCTTCGCGCACACATAGTCTGATTCTAGGCGTGTCGTCAGTCACCAGCTGAGCTGAGTGGTGCCACGTTCTGAGACACTTTTTTATGCGCTTGGTGGCTGTCGTGTCGCGAGCGGCAGCAGAGCATTCTCGCTGCCGTCAGGTGTTCAGAAGGACTTTTGATTGTTATTTGGAGTAGCTGTATTATCTGAGGTCGCCTCCCTCGGCAAGAGCGGAGGGTTTGCCTCTTCTGCTACAGTTCGTGCAGTCTTTTGCAGTGCAGCCGCAACGGGGAGGGGCGCCTCTTTACGAGGTGCCGCCTGCCGGGTTTGTTCGCTAGTGCGCTTTCTTCTAGGGGTAGTAGTCCTGATACGCTCGCTGTCCACACAGTGTAGCATCTTTTTCGCGCATGAGGCGGAGCTGCTGTTTGAGAGTTTTGCTGAGCTGCTGCAACTGCTTGTAGGAGGAAACTGCGTGTCGCCTCCAGGCTGCAGCCCGCCCCTGCCACCAGGCAGCATCTGCGTCCGCAAAGGCTTTCGTGCTGTTACTGCTGCTGCGATCGCCGCTGCTGCTACTCGCTGCTGTTGAAACTGATGGCTCGCTGTGACACTCCAGCAGCAGCTCCTGCTGCTGCTGCTCCTGGCCTGGTTGTAGGTGCTTCCACTCCTGCTGGAAGATCGTCTCCTCGGGATGCGCCTGCACCTCTGCTTTAGAAGATGCAGCTTGACATGATGGCGCCAGCATCTCCCACAGCAGGTCATCAACAGCGAAGCTGTGCTGCCTGAGTTGCGGCATCTGCATCGGCTGCTGCCCTTGCTTATAAGGCTGCGTCAACTCTTGTTGCTGCACCTGTTGGCTGGCACTTCGTGTTGGGTTCGGTGCCACGGAGTAAGCACACGCCGCATCAATTCTTGCTGCAGCAGATCCTCTAGCCGCCACTGACCTGCCGGCAGCAGCAGCACCTGCTGCTGCCTCGATGGAGGCACATGTCCTAAGGAGGCCCCTTCTGCTGCAGGGGAGCAACGAAGAAGTCGAAGCACTGCCGCTTTCGATGTTGCACGTCTGGCCGCGGTTGCGGTTGCCGCTGTACTCAGCGCACTCAGGCTCGTTTTCTGAAGTCATGTTGCTGCAGCTGCCGCAAGCTGCCCAGCAGTAGCAACATGCACAAGAACAAGTTCGTGGTTGTGCACTGGTAGGCTTCTCGAGACCGCAACTGCGTGGCTGTACCCCAACAACAGGGCTGCCACACCTGGAAACCTCTGGCGTACAGCAGCTGCAACAGGTGCTGCAAAGGCATAGGGTGCTGCGCCTCACTTCGCAGCAGCAGCAGCTTACACGGCTGCAGTTGCACTGCAAGGGTGCACTGGCGCTGCAACGGCATATTTGGAGGTTGCTGCGTGGGCGTGCTGCTGCTGGAGGTTCTTGGCGGTCATCTTTGTCTCTGGAGGGTCTTTTGGGGTGCTTGTTTAGCCGTGCAGCCTTTGCAGCTGCAGCAGCTCTGGTTGCTGCAGCTGCTGCCTGACGTGCCGTTGCTACTGCCGCCGATCTTGCTTCTGCTGCCGCCGCTGCACTAGCGTTACCACTGCTGACTAGGTGGGTTTTAAACTTTGTTTGTTCGACTCTCACTTTGGGCTGCCCTCTGCTCACGAGCGCCCTTTTGGCTGTTGTCTGCGGCCTCCTCCCGCAGCATCTACTGCTTTCCCTGCTGCACGCTGCTCCGCAGTGGTCCTTGCACTGTCTACGTTCCATGGTGTCAGTATCATAGAGGGGCATTTGGTGGTGTATCTGCACCTCCCTCTGTGGCAAGGCCCAAACTCATTAAGTGTAAAATACTACTGGCGCTTCTAGTGTCACAGCTAGCTTTTCACCGCCCATACACCTGAAGCAAATGCTACTGAACTCGCTTCTGCATTACCCCCGTCTTGTTAAAACAGTAGCCCCATACGCCGCTTCGACAGTGGCCTGTGCTACACAGCAGCACTGATGTCGTCTATTCAAGACCGCTATGTTAGTCAACTGCCAATGAGGATTTCAGGATGTCTCTTGTGCTTTCGGTGATTCTGGTTCTGCGGATGCGGCAACGGAAACTGATGGAATCCGTGCAGTCCAGCATGCACGCAAGCAAGACCTGCGTGGGGAGGCTTCTCGTTAAGAGTAGGAGCCAGGGAATATTCAACAATGTATGCGTATGTACCTCTCTGAGACTTTGGTAGAGTCTGGGCTTCAGGGCATTCTGCTACCTAGGGGGGAGCGGCAGTAACAACAACGCGCAGTGATGGAGGACGCAACAACAGGTTCTGTAGTATGTCGCGCTGGATCCACTTAAATATGAATATTTTGACTAGTTTTGAGCATACATATGATGTCTAATATAGATTGAGAGACGGAGCCACAAGGCCGACAATAGAAGCAGGATTAATAGTAGCACAGCCACACCGGCCCTCCAGCCACGGTGACCTGAGCAGCAGTAGCAGCACCCATAGAGCCTTATCAGCAGCGCTTAGAGGAAGTCGAAAATTCACAGATCATAAGGTCTGCTTAGGCAACTCTCTTGTTTCGAGCGGTATTGTCCGTTCTCGATGGTGTCGAACCCGTTGGAAGAATCCAGCTGCGTGTGCCTGCAAAACGGAAGATCTCACGGCCCCAAGGAACCTAGATCACTAACAGTGCGGAAAGCCGATTAAGATCAAGACAACCATCCTTAGCGGCAGTAGCGGGGCTCCTAGGAGACTTCCATAAATATCCCGTTGAGTGCACTCAACTCATGCTGCAGTCGAGACTCGTTTTACCCAATAGCTGTTGTTGCTAGCCCGTCGGAAGATCCTAGTGCGGCTGTTGCAACTATTGTGCTGAATTCTACACTGTACATACTCCTACCACGCCGCATACATCTACAGGATATGTTAGTGGCCATGCAACACCCATAGCAGCAGCAGAAAGAACAGAGCCAGCAGGGGTATCAGAAGCACCAGGACAAACGGCATACAGGCCGATGGAAGAGGGGATTCCGCAGCTGTGCATCCCAGCGAGGAACCCCATGAAAAGAAAAAGTGTATCAGAACTATGGACAGGTCCGGGGTAGCGCAAAGCGCTTGAGGGAGAAGGCTGTGTGACAGCTCCCAAGTTTTAACGGGGGGAAAGCCAGAGACAACGCGAGAGAAAGAAGAACTGAAGTGCATGGGAAGCATCAGAGATACGAATAGGTGGGGGGCGTAGGTGTACTGTTACTTCTTAGCCAAGACACTTGAACCTAAATTCAATTCCAGCTTGTTTGGTAACGCGTGAGTCTTAAAAAAGCTCCCTCGCTTTTCCCGCAGCCATCAAAGATCCCGAGAGGGGTAGCGAGGTTTAGTATAGCTGCCCTGTTCAAGCACTCCGAGCACTAACAGCTAGTTGCACATAGAATCTAGCGCACGCGAACGCAACATTGTCTCGTGAAATCGAGCGAACAGTGCTCTGCAATAAGTAAGTATACGAGCACCCACAGCAACTAGCTAGTTTTTTTCCAATTCTTTATAAGCTATTACTAACTTAGTAGAAAGTGCTTCAAGTGCAGCCTGGCCCACTACAGTAGGGCGGCGCTGGCAACTGATAGGAGTGGGCGGGTGCAGGAAGCACTGCTAGAGCGTGCAAGGAGATGGTAGAGACGATGGCGGTGGCTGACAGTCACCAGCTGTGTTGCCGACGCAACATGCGATTTGAGGACCAGCAACCACACACATAGACCTGCAAAATTGGTGGGTAGAGTTATTGGGGGGCTGCTGCAGCAAATCCAGCAGCGGCCACAAACCTGCATGTTGATTAAAAAAGTCCTTTTCGGGTGCACTACACAGGCATACGGGGAAGGACCTATCAGATCGGCAAACAAACGGCAGAACGCGTGTTTAGCAGATAACCCGAATCAGAAGCAAGACGAACGGCAGAGTGACGGACTGAAGACGTGAGGGAGAGCCCCTGGGAGGCGAACCTCCCTGCCTTCTTGTCATTTATAGCTCGCGGTCCTTGCAGCTTGCCCGTATTATATCTGAGGCTCTCTCTGCCCCCTCCCGCACAAGCGTTTGCCTATTGAAAGACTCATTTAGGGGGAGGTGCTGGGGATCCACGGGCTGTTGGTTCCTCCATGGTTGATGGCATTAGGCCCAACATTGAGAAATCTCGTGCACAGTTCTTCATTCTGATAGATCGCCATGCACTGGCCAAAGACAAGCGCCTTCCACTCGAGCATAGCAAGGGGGTTGATAGCGGCCCACTTCAGCAAGTATAAGTTATCAGCGAGCGGCTGGAGATATCCCAGTGGATTTGTCCGACTCCAGAACCGAAGAGGTGAAGAACCCTGCTCACCTGACTCTTGGGGCTGTTTTGTTTCAGAGGCTTCTTCTACAGTATCAGTCAACCCAACCTGTTCATCAGCCTCGGCGACCCCGTCATGCTGCTCCTCTTGCTTTCCCTCTTCCTGTTGCTGCTCCTCACTCTCTTCCTGCTGCTGTTCGTCGCTCTCTTCCTGCTGCTGCTCCTCGCTCTCTTCCTGCTGCTTCTCGCCCTTTTCTTGTCTTTGGGAGTCCCCTTCAGCCTGTTGCTGCAGCTGTAGAAAATTCAGGGGGTCCAACAGCTGTGCAACTGCTGCTGCTGGCGATGGTGCTTCCAGCTTAACGTTCTTGGCGGCAGCCGCAGCAGCAAGCAAAGGATTCCCAGCTCTAAACCCATACACGGTGCTGTTAGCCACACCCTCCGCGATCGCTTCAGCGAGGGCCTCCAGCTGTGCCTGATCCATGACTGGTACGCCCCTCAGGGGAAAGCTTGTTCCCCTGCTCCCACTGCTGCTGCGGCTGTTGCTAGTTTGGCTGCCGTTGGCGTTGCCCCTGTCATCGCTACTGCCGCTTCCGTTCTTGTCTTTGTTGGTCCTGCCTGTGCTACCGCTGGATGTTTCGGCGCGCTGCTCAAGAAACGCGGTGACGAGGCGGGGGAGGGCTTGAGCTTCTTGCGGAGACGTGCCGAAGGGCGAGAGGAAGAAGGCATGTGACATTTCTGCATGTTCATGCTGTTCTGGAGTTAGTTGTTGCCACCTCTCTGGGTTAAGGGATGCCAGGGAGGCGAGCGATTCTCCACCTGTAACTAGCATGTGCGGGATGTCAGCCGCTGCGGTGACCACTGACCCCCCCATATCATCCAACAGTCCTGCACCGAGGGTCATATCCCCGAGAGTACTCAGGAATTCGGCTGACTCCGCATAGTGAAGAGCCAGAGAGGGGCACACTGCCAAGACTGCTACCACACGAACTGCCCGAGACATCTTCGCTTCTACTACTGGTTCTGGCCTGCTGGTTTACCCGCTAGCGATTGCAACTGAGTACGAGGAAAGTACCCACTCAGTCGCTCCTACTGGATGAACCGGTGTAAGTAGATCAGGCCCTCAGAGGCAGACAGTGAAACCAACCGCAAGAGACAGAGGGCGCGTGAAAATCCGCAGAGAACGCTACCTGGACGAAGGAAACTTACCCTAACCCAGACCCTCGCTACTTGCGAGAATCGAAGCACAGATGGTACCTGCTGCAACCTAAAGAAGAGGTAGTTCTGTCGCACACAATCCAAATCTGCAAACAGCTTGATAGGCTCATGGTTACCTGACCTATCGTGAGGGGCGAGTCCGATGCCGCCTACAGTCACTGCTATTGCGGACTTCCTGCTGTGCCCACTTCTTTTCGACTCAGCTATAGACAAAAATCGTTCTTTTTAAAGCGGAATTTTATCGGTCACTGCAGAAAGGAAAGAGAGAAGGGCACTCTGTTTCTGCTTAGTGCTATGTTTGGGAAGGACCACCCATTGGCACGCTGAACAGCTGTCCATCTACATTTTACTCGCAGGCTCTGTCTAACTAAACTCAGTATAAGAATGCTCTGTTCACTTATATAAAGCTTATGGGGAGAGACTCTGCTTCAGATCTCTTCTCTAGATACATAGAGGTGCAGGTTCTAGGGTAGCCTGAGGTGGATCTCTCGCGAAGAGTTCGTCGCATAGCGCCATGTTGGCATTTAGAACAAAAAAAAGTACCACCGTCGGTTCAGGCCAACAAAGGTTTTTTGGCCCTTGTTTTATTGTTTTGCTGTCACCTTCTCCAACCCCGCCGCGTGTCTCCCATGTCCACCACCCCTTGCGGTTCCTGCGATCTATAGGGAGGGAGCTTCCACAGTGTGGGGCAAGCTTTCTCCAAGTGCAGCCGCACAATTAAACCTTTTAAAGCTTATTGGATAGTCGCGGGAACTGAAGATCTCCGTGTTGGTCTGTGCTGTGAGGCAAAAGCAGTTCCGCAGGCAGCAGCTGCACACGCCGTTGAGAGGAGCGACACAGCTCTGTGTTGAAAAAAGGCGTCTTTCCTCTCCAAGTTGCATACAGTTACCTAAACTAGGATTTAAATTACTTCTAGACCAATAACCGTGGAGTATGTACCTGCTTTCACTGCAAATGCATGTGAGGGGGACGTTGCACAATTGAAGTAACTCTGTCCATGCTAGTGCCTTTTCCTCCGACATTTCGGCATCTTTAAGTCAAAGTATCAGTCAAAATACTCAAAGCCTTTCAATCCAGGGATCCTGCAGAAAGTGGCCGTCGGCACTCCAGCGGAGATAGCGGACGAAGGGGAAGTGACCCTTGGGAACGTGCAGCAGCACGAGAGCGTTCACACTCTGTAATTCATCATGGCGTGTGGGGTAGTTCGGTTCCAAAATTGGTTAAAGAAAACTGCATGCGCTAAAATGCAAATGCATTTCTAGGCTCTTGCGTGTATCTGGCAATGTGCTTTGGGTCGGGGAAAGTTTACGGTGAAGACCTAGGCAGGAACGATCCCCGACAATGCGGGTGCACGGCTTGTCTGTTCTTCATACTTTGGAAAGATTCTTATTTTTTTTAGTAAATATGTAGAATGACTTTATGCCTCCAACACCTAACCAGATGATAGACTGCCGAGTTTATAGGGCAGGTAATACCGGCATATGCTTACTGCGAGGTGACTGGCACGCTGCCATTGCAGAAGTACATCATGTTGCTGCAAGCGCTTCAATTCACTTTTTCATTAAATCAGGTAAAAGTCTCTCTGCTCTCAGATTCGAGGTAATATCTTGTAAACTGGTATCTAAGCCCCCTTTAAGAGTCTATAATAAGGAAATCCTGAGCAAATTCCAATGTCGCCTCCGTCAGCTATACTCTTTGCTGCAGCTCTCTCTGCTGCAGCAGCAGCAAACGCCTTTACCCAATCACCCCTCCTCCAACTTCCAAACTTTCTGACTGGCCAACCGGAGCCGCCGCAACAGCATCCACCTAAGCAGGAACCTGAACAGCAAAGCCTACAGGATGTCGTCACACGCCAGCTGCCACAACAGCTACAACAGCTGCCGCAACAGCTGCAACAGCTACAACAGCTGCCGCAACAACTACAACAGCTGCCGCAACAACTACAACAGCTGACGCAACAGCTGCAGCGGCTTCCTGGCCCATTGCAAGAGCTGAGGCTTGGGCAGTTACCGACGCTGCCACACTCTATCCCTGGCGTGAACTTGGGCAACTTGCAGCAGCTGCAGCAAATTCCTCAGCAGCTGAGAGAGGTTCCTCAGCAGCTGCAGGAGATTCCTCAGCAGCTGCAACAAATTCCTCAGCAGCTACAAAAGATTCCTCAGCAACTGCGAGAGGTTCCTCAGCAACTGCAGGATATTCCTCAGCAGCTGCAACAGATTCCTCAGCAGCTGAGAGAGGTTCCTCAGCAAGTGCAGGATATTCCTCAGCAGCTGCAACAGATTCCTCAGCAGCTGAGAGATATTCCTCAGCAACTGCAGGATATTCCTCAGCAGCTGCAACAGATTCCTCAGCAACTGCAACAGATTCCTCAGCACCTGAGAGATATTCCTCAGCACCTGCAACAGATTCCTCAGCAACTGCAGGATATTCCTCAACAGCTGCAACAGATTCCTCAGCACCTGAGAGACATTCCTCAGCACCTGCAACAGATTCCTCAGCACCTGCAACAGATTCCTCAGCACCTGCAACAGATTCCTCAGCACCTGCAACAGATTCCTCAACAGCTGCAACAGATTCCTCAGCACCTGAGAGACATTCCTCAGCACCTGCAACAGATTCCTCAGCAGCTGCAACAGATTCCTCAGCAGCTGCAACAGATTCCTCAACAGCTAGCCGGTACCGCGCTGCAGCCGCGGAACCAGAAGCCTCAGGATACGGATGCGAACTCGCTGCAGCGGCTTCCTCTGGACCTGGATCTTCTTCCACCACTGGAGGCGATTCCTCAACAAGTGCAGCAGATGGCTACGCAGCTAGAGCAACTTGCTCAGCAAACGCAGCAAACTCCTCTGCAACCTCAGCAAAATCCTCAGCAGGCAGACCAAGCTCCTCAACAGGTGGAGCAAAATCCTCAGCAGGTAGACCAAGCTCCTCAACAGGTGGAGCAAAATCCTCAGCAGGTAGACCAAGCTCCTCAACAGGTGGAGCAAAATCCTCAGCGGGTAGATCAAGCTCCTCAACAGGTGGAGCAAAATCCTCAGCAGGTAGATCAAGCTCCTCAACAGGTGGAGCAGAATCCTCAGCAGTCACAGAGAATGATGTTTGTCCCATTCGAGCCGCTGCAGCTGCCACTGCCCCTCACCAATCTCGACATTAATCAGTTGCCTAGTTTCATGAACCCTATATCTCTTGCTGGAGGCGCAGTAGGTCTTCGATCGGACGCTCAAGACCATGGCTCTTTGCTAGGAGCACTAGGGCTTCCTGATAGTGCTGAAAAGCTTACAGGCTTCCTGTCGCCAAGGGATGGTTCCGCAGAAGGTTCTGCAAAAGATTTTGCAGAAGAAGATGGACAAAGGCCTCCAGCTTCGCCAGAAGAATCGCCGGAAGCGCTGGCCGTTAGAGGTATCGTACCCTTCTTCCCCGAAGAGACGGCAGAACAGCTGGCCAGCGCATTTATGCTGGGATGGCCACTAAGTATTGCCAAGACTGCACTGATGCTGAAGCAGGCAGCAGAAACAGCAGCGATATCAGCAGTAGCAACAGCGGCAACAACAGCGGCACAGGGATTTCCCGCTGTGCCTTTTTTTCCTGAAGAAGTTAGGCAGTTACCTCAGATAATAGCTTTTTTGTCTCCTAGTGCTTCTTCTGGTGCTTCACAGGAAACTCCGACGACTGACTCCGGGCAAGCCTCTACAGACGACCCCGTAGACAACACTGTGGATGACCCTGACGATGCAGTGGATGATGGAATAGACGACATTATTGATGATGCAGAGTCGGCTATTGACGACATAGTAGACGACGTTACTGATGTCGTAGAATCGATCACTGATACCGCAGAATCGGCTGTTGACGACATAGTAGACGACGTTACTGATGTCGTAGAATCGATCACTGATACAGCAGAATCGGCTATTGACGACATAGTAGACACCGCTACCGACGCCTTGGAATCAGTCACTGATGCTGCAGAATCAGCCACTGACGGCATAGTTGATGCCGCAACCGATGCTGCAGACACCGTTACCGATACGGCAGAGTCGGCTATTGGAGGTATAGTAGACGCTGCAACTGATGCCGCAGACACCGCTACCGATACGGCAGATTCGGCTATTGGAGGTATAGTAGACGCTGCAACTGATGCCGCAGACACCGCTACCGATACGGCAGATTCGGCTATTGGAACTATTGTAGACGCTGCAACTGATGCCGCAGACACCGTTACCGATACGGCAGATTCGGCTATTGGAGGTATAGTAGACGCTGCAACTGATGCCGCAGACACCATTACCGACACGGCAGATTCGGCTATTGGAAGTATTGTAGACGCTGCAACTGATGCCGCAGACACCATTACCGATACGGCAGATTCGGCTATTGGAACTGTTGTAGACCCTACAACTGATGCCGCAGACACCGCTACCGATACGGCAGATTCGGCTACTGGAACTGTTGTAGACGCTGCAACTGATGCCGCAGACACCGCTACCGATACGGCAGATTCGGCTATTGGAAGTATTGTGGACGCTGCAACTGATGCCGTAGACACCATTACCGATACGGCAGAGTCGGCTATTGGAGGCATAGTAGGCGGAATTACTGGTATTCCGTAGAATTGTCTGCAAAAGGCCCTTCCCGGGATACGGGGGATGCACGCAGTACCCTTCCTCCCTCTGATGCCACTGAGGCATCAGTCATGCAGCTTAGCATTAAAACTGTGGGCCCTATTCTGAACGCTATATATTCAGGCGAATATATGAATGTTGGCTTATGCTCTGCAGCACAGCCAGGACGGGAAGAGTCCCCGCCTGTAGCAGCTCGAGTGTCCGTCTGTGTTTTCGGTGTGATTTTTGCTGCTGATCTTGCTGCTGCTTCCATTGTGCTTAAGCCCTTGGGCGTGTATTTCTACACTCCGAAGCAGAATCAGTCAAACTCTATCCTTTTGGGTTTAAAGGCTGTTGGGTACTCTGATGGAAGAGCTTGCGAAAATTCGTGTATATCGCTTCTGCTGCTCCTGTTGTTTAACTGTGTTGAGCATGTCACTTCTGCTATGGGGAGCTTCTGGGCTTTTGCCTTTGCTTTCTCTTTGTCTTCCTTGCTTTGGCCTGAGCCTACGCAAGGAGGGCAGTCCACAGAATCGTGCCTTAGACTGTAGACCCTCGACCGTGGACTCCCACCAAGGGAGTTGAACTGGCGAGACGTCCCCCGACGGAGGACTAGAGATGTAGAAAGAGCGACTGGCGGAGAGCCACAAGACTGCCAAGCAACCGGAAAGGAGGAGTGGATAAGCGCGAGAGGTAATAAAGCTTCTGAGTGTCCTTACATTCAGCCTGGCTTCCTCCTGTGTGCGTTTCGCGTCGATTAGCAAAAATTCCATGTGATGGCAAAGGCTCCTGTGTGCAGCACACCCCTTAGTCCCGAACAGACAGACTCGTTGCAAAGGCTCTGCCCCTCCTAGCACTGTGTATACCGCCTAGATAGCAGCAGCAGAGAAACGGCTGGGAGTAGCAGTCCTTCAGGGCAAATCGTGCGAGGGGAGCGCATCCACACCGGTTTAGCACCTTGGTGCTGAATTTATGGCCTACTCTGCTGCCTGCAGCGTGTTGAGAGGCACCCCCGCCTCTCGAGCAGCGTATATTACTTCCTGAGGTAGCGAGAAAAGATTGGCAGGCAAACAGAAAGAGTGCCGACGAGGCTAAAATGACCCTGGAGGGCACGACGCGCATCATGGATCCGAACAGAAGAGAGCAGGATCAAGCAAACGCGATAGTAGTAGAGAGAGGCGAGAAACACATACGAGTTCAGAATACGAAACAGACGCAGGAAAAGGGAAATCAAGAGGTCTCAGGAGGGAGGCTTCGGTCCCAGCTCAAGACGAACAACAGGAAGAGAGACTGGTCAGAACATGTATAAATATTTCAGAAAATGTAAGCAACGGCTCCCCAGCGCTCTACCCTGCTTCTCTCTAGCCCTATGCGCCACCGTTCGTACCTGTAAGGTGAGAAGCTGACTTTCAAAGAACTCTGTTGCTGCTGTTTCGAAAGCTACAGCCATGGGGAACGCACAGAAGATGGGAGATGCCCTGCAGTCTGTCCAGTTGGTGAAGCCCCTCAGAGGCTCCAGGGGCACACAGAGTTCTTGCAAGAGGCTGCAACAGCGCGGCAGCGCACAAAGTTGCGCAGTGCATTAGCTGCAGCTTGTTACACTGGTGGAGTAGCCGCAGGGGATGTGAACTTTTCATAGGCATCCAGTGCTCACATCGTCAGTAGCAAGTGCAGGAAAAAACTATAAAGCTGCTGCTGAGGAGCGGTGCTGCAGGCTGCGACAGCAGCAGGTTAGTCACAAGAGGAGATCAAGCAGGAAGAATGCATACATGTGGCGTGCCGCTCTGGAGGCCTCTGCTGCCGCCTCCTCCAGCAGTTCCGGCTCTGAACTGATGGCTCGAGTCTCCTCCCAAGATAGGCACAGCCTCCTGCCCATTTCGAGTAGCACACCACAGCAGTTGCCGAAGCTGTCTAGACCTCACGCACAGCAGCAGCACCACCATCTGAACCAGCACCAACGGACCAAACAAGCTGCACTGCTAGGGCAGCATGGACGAAGCAGGGAAGGCACTGCTGCGACGACAGTAGCACAAACCAACAGAAGATAGGACCCTGGCCTTACTCATAAAAAGAAGGCTCAGGGCATTCATTGGAGCGCCGGAGACACCGCAGAAGGTCTTTAAGGTTTTTCTCAGCTACCAGCAAACGGCGGCAATGCTGCAGCTGCTGCATTAGTGTACTATTGCAGCATGCCGCAACCCCCTCGATAACCAAGCTTGCCAGCTCATCCATCAACTGAGAATCATCCTGCAAGTCCAGCTGCAGCATATGCTGCGGGTCATGCTTGTTTGAGGGTTCTCCTGTTTCGGGAGGCAGCTCATTTTCCTCGCGCTGCCCTCCTTCGCCCTCCAGCGGTTTAGAAAGCCTGTCTGGCTTCAATTTGAGTGCGGCGTCCTCCTGCACATCCTGTGGATTCTCTTGTTGTCGCTGGTGCTGCTTCTCTGCCTCCTGAATTGCACCAACAAGCGCTCCATTTCGCTGATCAAGTGATGCTTTAAAGCCCCCACAGCAGCCAAAAGTCTGCGGAAGCCAAAGATGCTCTACTACTCACAACTAGTTTTAGAATCCTCCTGATTTGTGCCTCAATGGCGAGCCTCTTTGTCTCAGTTTTCAATAGCTTTCCCAAGCGGCAGTCCAAGGGGTAGTCCTCTGTATCTCGTGCAGCCTGATACAGGGCGAGTGAAGCATCACAGTGTGACGGGCAGCAGCCAGGCCCGAAAATGCTGAACTGAGCTTTACGAGGACCAGCTAGCACCCGCGTAGCCCCCTCACAACGGCAGCAGCAGTAGCAGTAGATGAAAGAGCACAACTAGCAAGGTGCGGCACCACCGCAGCAATCTACACCACACGATCCACCAACTCGCTGTCATATACCTGCTGGAGTGCCTCGAGAGACCGCTCTTCCAAGGCAGCTAGCAATCGCTTTTCTGCTGCTAGAGATGCTCGTTGGGCGACGTTGCACCTGTGTGCGGGGGCGGCAGATATGACAGCAGTAGATGCAGCAATCACTGCAATTACAGTTAAGTGCTACAAGGAGCAACTAAAGGGGCTCCGGGATATGGCGTCTCCGGGCTTTTTAACGTGATTGACATTCGCTGAGAGAAGCCTCAACGTATGGTAGCAGGCTAGGCTTCAAGGCTTGGCCTTCGGAAATGGGCTTTGACTTGCCAGGTGACGAGCTGCTCGCACTCAGTGGCTTCTGGGGAAGTATATACCCAAAAGTGTTGCACTGCTTCCTGCAGCTCGGAGCAAGACAGCAGCTTCAATAATTTTGGGTCGTTTCGGAGTGAGTTGAATGCGCGGTTCAGTGTACTGCTGAAGCCATTTGCACAGAGATATCTAAAGCCTTGTAGGCGTCTTCAGGTCTCTCTGCCACTGGATCTACAGGGCATAGGAATTGTTGGGCTCTTCACCTTGGAGTAGAAGTCTAGGGTGAAAGAGCAAAAGAATCGGGGGTGCCTAGAAGAGAAGGCGATGCCTGTGAGCGGACAACTCTCGGCCGCTGTTGCTGCATCCAGCAATGCGCGGCAGTCTTCTTCCTGCAGTCAGAGCCGCAGATACAAAGCACGCAGCCCTCGTTCGCAGCATGTGCGGATGGCCTTCTGTCGGCAAGCTTTTGTAGCAGCAGCACCCTGACCAGCAGCAGACACTGCTAATGACAGTGCAACTGATGGCATGAAAAACGGCCGAGTTCCTTGAGGACCCTCGTAGGTGGGCCGTAGCAGCAAATTCAGCAGCAACAGCGGCAGCAGAAGCAGCTCAACTGACAGCAGCAATAGCTGCTGCAGTATGGCCTCTAGCATTCCTTTTTTCGACTGGGATCCCGAGACTGAGCACCGCCTTTACCATCTCCAGAGAGCCGCCAGCAGCAGCTGCAGCAGCAGAGAAAGCAGGCACCGCAGAGATGCACTGCCACTATCGTTTCTTGTGTGCCGTCTTTTAATGGCGCATGCACCCAGTACCAATCGTGCAAGTAAGGAAAGCAGCAAGCACAGCAGACAGCAGACCCTGATGCAGCACCGTGTTGCCTAATGAGTCCATCACGTGGGGAGAAAATCCGGCCTTAAGCAGAACATGAAAGATGCGCGTCGCTCCCTTATAGGCAGCCCAATGCCTGCAGCGGCCAAACCAAGCTTTAAGCCGCGAATGCGAAGCCACCAGTATCCTGAATTCACGCTAGGAACGTGTCAATAAACAGTGGAGGGGTTGCGTACTTGCGCTCTGAACCGAGCCTGCCTACTGCGGCACTGTGCCGTTAAGGTTAAAAATCTTACAGCGGGGAATACTTTCTCGTTGCCTGCAGAATTGGCAGAGGTTGCTCTTTGGAGTCTGCCGAGGCTTCCTTAGTTGCTATCACGTCGCTTAATGCCGAGGGTGCCGGCAGGGGCTCCAGCTCAAGAGGCTGGGCCGCTTGGTGCGGCTCTGCCTCCTGCTGCTGTTGCTGGGGAGCAGCAGCTTCTGTAGCTGCAAGGGACTGTGCTGCTGGCCTTTCTACAGCACCTCCCTCAGTAGTGGCACCATCAACGGGTGTTACGCGGGTTGGAGAAGAGGTGTTTTCCTGGGGAAGTTCTGCGGAGGAATATTTCCCTTGGTATTTCTCAGACTGACTGCGGTGTTGCTCTTGCAGCAGGCGTTGCTGCAGCTGCGGCAGAACTTGCCAAGGCAGCGCCTCAACAGGCGGCTGTTGCTGCTGCTGCTCCTGTAGAAGCAGTGGTGCTGCTGCTCCATACCGCAACAATTCCCGGATGAGTTCCTCGTTGCCATGGAGGACAGCCCACTGCAGGGCGCTCCACTGACCGGCGTCCTACAACTCACACAGTCGACGCCCGAGGTATGAACTGAGGCTCTACTGTATAAACAAGGCTGGCGGCTCAGAGAGCTAGAGTGTGCAGCGCTGCATAAACCAACAGTCTGCCCTTAGGCTTCAAATTTGCCGGAAAGCTGAAGTGTGACTGTGATGGCTCCGGGTTGTGGGATGGATGCACCTCTGCTGTAGGGTCAGCTTCATCCTTCAGAAGTGTGAGAACTCTTTGTGTGTTGTTTGCCTCGGCGGCTTCGAGGAGACGCCGTGCGGCTCTTGCGCGCTTCTCGGTTCGCGTCAGCAGCCGCTCCTCCAGACCCCCAATATCTGGGACACATATCAGGTCGTCCATTGTATTCCCTCAACCACCTGCTGGACGGTGAGATTAGAGGGCGTCAGCAGTTGTCGGAGTTTTTTTTTCCCAGTGCTGGCCCTATTAGGGGTCTCTCCTCCGTGACGTGACAGGGCAACTGCGCCTACGGGACCGTGGCCCCTGTGGGGAACCTCTTCTTTTGCTAGGAAGAAGGGCGCTTCCAGGAAAGTGCTTTTTAGTTTGTGGCGATTCAACACATTCCTGTGACTCTTCCCATTCTCTCTCTAGATTTTCTACTGCGCCGTTTCCTTTCTCGCAGTAGCTGTCACGTGGCCTTTGCGAAAAAAACACTTCCTGCCCCCCTCAAGCTGCCCTGGCCTTTGTCCTTCTATGTTCCTGCCCCTCTTCGTAGCTCGGGTGGCTCGCACGGAGCCGGCCTAGCGCCTGTTTCCCTGTGTTTCCAACTGTACGGCAACCACCGGTGCAGAGAGGGCCCCTAGTAAAGAGCTTGTCTGCCGCCTGCCCCCCTTGTGGCCAGCTATTCGATGGCTGGCTGGCGGCGGCTTCTTAGGAAGCGGCGAGCCACCAGGGCTAAATCGTGCCGGACATGGAGTGACGGAACAAGCGCAGTGTGCCCAGCAGCAGTCCCGTATCCTTGCGGGAATGAAGGCTTGTGGAGCATGTATTCACCCCTTCTCGCTTGAGTGTGCGTATTTCAGCGGCTCCTAGCTACTGAGATGCAGACTTTGACAACATCGATTGCGGCCGGAATGTAGCAACAGCAATACGACGTCGGGGACCTACAGCAGTCTGGTGCCGGCGACCCTCGACAAGCACTACAGGTTGAGCCCAATAGGCCGAACTCAGAGAGCGACAAACGCATTATTTTTATCTTTAAGGTATTTATGAAGCTCGGATGGAGGCAGCCTACCTCTGCAGGGTGCAGGGATTAGGCGTTTCACGCTGTCGACAGCCGCAGCAGCATGTGCAGCCCATGCGGCCTCAAGCAGGGATCGTGCCTTCTGGGAGTTTCAGCTCTACACAGAGGCCCTCGACCTATACCCTCGCTTTTTAAACACGAGCTGAAGTGTGAAATTCGACAACGATTACGCAAAGGATATCTCGTGAAAAGGCGGTGGTGCTGTGCAGGGTCACCTGGTGGGCTCTTACGCAGATCGAGAGACATCGCTGGCTTCCTGCCGCAGCGGCTGCTGCTGCCGATGCTGATGAGGGTGTTAGGCAGCTACAACCGTCACACCTTCGATCAACCGTACCACCTTCTCCGTTGGTGTTCCTTGGATTCGAGCGGCTGCTGAGTCACTAGCCGTGAACTCGACGGAATCCCACGTCCAAACACCCGTGGCACCAGCTAGCGACGCCCGGAAGAAACACGACGTAACCAGGTAACCAACCGTTTTTCCTTGTCGCCCCTAGAATTCAGAGTGTATGATGTTCCGCTCGGGGAGTGAGGCCAAACGCTTCGGGTCGTAAGGCCGGAACCTTGTCTTCCTTGTGCACGAGTCGGCTGAGGGGATTCCCAGCACTCCAGGGCCCTGCAGTGGCATACGAGACCAGGTGCCCTCGAGCTCTGTGTCTGTGTGCGCAGCCGCGGTTTTTCATTAGCATGTAGGTGTACTGGAGGCCTGACAATCGCCAACGCCTGCAACATCTCCCGTACCAGGAGCCCAAGGAGCAGCCAGTCCAAGGATTAGAGCACCGGCATCCTCCTCCTCCGCAGCAACAGCAGCAGCATATCACAGAGAGAGAGAATCAGGATGACTGAAATGACCACTGAAGGCACTCGCCAGGCGGCTGCCTTAAGTTGTGAGGCGGCCGAATGGCTGTACGCGCTTAGAAGACTTCATCGCGGTGTTCAAAGAAACCAAAGCAAAATCCAAGAGCTCCATACCGCCGTCAGAACAATCAGGCAAAAATTCGGAACCTCATTTCCTAATCCCTGGCCGTTTTTAATGTAGAGTGTGCAGAAGAAGGTCGTCTGGCCTTGCGCTCGCAGTCAGCACCCAAAGCGCCATTCGGGCCCCTGCAGTGCTCGGAGCTTCCCTACTACACTTGGGCTTCGAAATTCTGCCTTTGTTTACGCTCAGAAATGAGCTGACGGCGAGCATCGATGAATGCCAGTCCCTTGATTCGCACTCAAGCGCTGGGAGGAACGAAATCGATAGGCTCTCGGCAATCCTCGCCGAAGGTAAGGAACAATGCACCCAAAATTCCACGCCCTTCAGTCTGGGCCACACCGATCAGGGTGCGATGGCTTCTGGATACGCTAAAATATAATGCTAAGGCAGTCCGGAATGCGCTGTGAGCTTTGCGAATTTCCCCCAGAGCAACGGGAAAAGCAGGAGGCAGAGACTCGCGTCATTCTGGCAAAGCGCCACAGGGATAAATTGTAAGGCATTTTAAATCGCGAAATGCGCACTAGGAACAGCGGCAAAATTGAGGGCAGCAGAGCAGTGAGGGTGTATATAGCTCGCATCAAAAGGCAGGGATTTCTCCAACTCCCCATGTGATTCGCCCCGCCCGTATATCTCTTCTTGTTGCAACCCCCTTTCCGTGGAATGCAGCTGCTGTTTACCATGCCGCTTTGGGCGGTGCCTTTTTTGAGTTGTTCAGACGGAAACACAACACTCTTGTTGTTAAAGAAATCGAAAGCCTCGGCGCTGCCACCAGACACATTGTAGGTCTTAGACATCGAACTCTCAAAGTTATCTCAAGATCCTGGTTGTGAGATTGCTCTCTTCTTTGAAATTGTTCAGCCTCTGTTTGCAGTCCCCTAAAGCTCACATCCTTGCAGCCTGCAGGCTGCGTAGGCCCTCGGGGAGGCTACAAGTTATTTGATCGAATTGAGCGTCCATATGGTTCCTCTGCAGCGCGCGGACGTGGCCAAGAGACGCGTATCCTGGGAGGTGAATGGCGCTATCTGTATCGGCCGCAACAACTCCAGCAGCAACGACAGCACAAGAATGCTCTTTCCCTATGTGCATGTGTGCTTGTGCAGCTGGCAACATTAGAGACCAGCAAGCTCATTCTTGAGAAAGAGTGGTTTCTCAGAGAACGAAGCCTCCTAGAGGTGAGTGGTGGCATCCCTGTCTGTCGTGGGATTCTATTTGGTGATTGAGAGGGTGGCATTGAGGCATAAAGGGAGGCAAGGCCGAAAGGTCTTGGCTGCCGTTTTCTGCTCCTGCCTCCACTGTTTACGACTATCAAACCCGAGCTCGTCCCATTGTTGCTATTGTTACTTCTCTTCTCGCGCTGTGCGTAGAGGTCAACACAAACGGAAATCCAAAACATCCTGCAGAGCAAGGCAAGGCATACACCCTGAGTAAAGCCCTAAAATGTCAAAAATATTGCGTGCTACACTTCGACTCCCTGAAGGGATGCTGTCTAGCTGCTGGACACGCCGCCAGGCTGCGATTGTTGTGCCTGCATCAGAATGTGCTGGATCAGATGCTTGCAAATGTTCAGAAGGCGCGCGATGCATCGAAAGTAAGCCCACCAACCTGCCCCCGCCCCTGCTTCTGCTGCACAGACCTATGGTGCCGCTACCCCTGATCTTCATAATGAGGGGTGGTCCTGCTGTCCTTGTCGCGTCGTTTACCCCTCCCAACCCTCTGCTTTACATTCGTTGTCGTGATTTCTACTTGCTGCTGCAGCGTGCTAGCCAGATCCGCATCGAGAGGCCCCGCCCAGGGGACGCTGAGTGGTTTAAAGCCCGCACACGCAGGAGGCGTCTCCACAGCCAGCAGGGCGCAGTCAGCAACCCTTCCTTCGACTAACTAGCTGCACCGCCTTCAAACAGGCACAGTAGCTAGCTAAGCATCCAGCCAAGCAGACAACTATGTAGCAGCGACTAGGACGTGACAGAGGAAAGGGTAAGATGCCGCCTTCTCTCCCCTCAGAGCTGGCCACCAGCAGACTGCCGGGCAAGCTAGCTGGCTAGCCACGGTGCTGAACGCAATGCCGACGCACTAGCCAGGAGCAGGCCTAGGCAGTCTGCTGGCAAGCTTTCTGGCTAATTAGCTGGTGCTGGCCAGCGCATGCACTTCGCATGGACAAAGCTTTTTAAAGATTTGATTTCGCGTGAGCAGGGTTTCGCGGTGGGAGCATGAACCCGGACACGTTTGGCCGCATGAATAGAATGGAAGAATACACACTGCGTGTTCGCCCCACAGCCACCACACTAAACGCACGTGGTACTGGTGCCCCTTGTGGCGCTTTTGGCGCTCCAGTGGGTACGTCTCGCCTCTCTATTGTTAAAATCCAGACGCCGCATCCCACAGTGCCGTTACTGGGGGCTGGCTGCTGCTCTGACCGAGCCGCATGAAAGACTAAGGACCTTACGTTGATGGCAGCAGCAGCAGCTGGAATTGGGAAACGGCTGCTGCTGCATGCGAGTGGGCAGCCGCTCAGGGGCTCCAGGCCTTAAGGCTTGCACCAAAGGACGGCGAGACTGCGCAACAACATGGCGAGGGGAGGCCTCTTGCTTGGGGGGAGGGGTGCTCCAGGAGGGCACGTAGCCAAGACACGGGCCTGATTCTGCTGCAGCCGCTTAAGGCATGTGTCTGTTGCCGCTGCAACTGCTGCTGCGAGCCTTGCTGCTTCCGATGCACTTGCTGCTGCTGCGGTGGGGCGGGTAGTACCATCGGATTCGGAGTCACTGACGACTCCTGAGGCCCGTAGCCTCCACACAGGGAGGCACTCTGACGTTGCTAATGCTGCTGGTGCTGCTCGGGCTTGAGCTGCTGCGAATGCTGGTGCTGGAGGCTCTATTGCTGGGGATGCTAGCACTGCTCTCCCGAAGGCGCCATCCGCAAGGGGAGTAAAGAGCTGCTGCTGCTGCGGCTGTCGATGCTCGGGAAGACGGCACGCCATGCTCGCTGGTGTACCAACGCTCCGACAGGGCCCCCAAGCTGCGAGGTCTCTTGCTCTTGCTGTTGCTGCCGCTGTTGTGGCTGCGGGTTACTTTAGCTATTGCAGCGACTGCTAACGCAGGTGCAGATGCATTGCTGCTATTGTTATTACTAGAGTAACTGCTTTTACGCCCAAGGCTGGTGTGCGTGCTGCTGTGCGGCATCGCACGGTGTGGCCTGGCCCCACTGGCTTCGCCAACAACATTGGAAGCTTCAACGCATAGAGGCTCAGGTTTTCAAAAAAAAATATTCCGCATGACCCCAACAGCTAAGCAAGAAAAAACGGGGTGTAGAAGCCGACGACGGGGCTCGAACCCGCGACCACGAGGTTAAGAGCCTCGCGCTCTACCGACTGAGCTACATCGGCTGGGGCGGTGCCCGGAAAATGTAAATGTGAAGATAGATTTCTTTATTTGCATATCTATTTGAAATCACTGGCAAACTTAAGGCTATTCCTTCACATGGGAGGGCACTTCAACACTATTAGACACGAAGTACTTCAATATTCCCATACTTCTTCGATGCTACAATGGCTCCTGAGGTACAGCCTTCGCAGATGGTGGTGCAGTGGACTGTACTCGCACACCAGTCCACTTTCCCCGCCGCTTATAGGTAAATTAAATAGTACTTTAGCTGCTTTCTGCAGCACTCTAACGTACATCTGCTCTCCTATGTTGACACCTTTCTGCGCCATCCTATCTCCCTGGGACGGTACCTCGAGCAATGTTCGGTGGCACTTTCTGCACATACCAGACGAGATCTACTCTCCAGGACATACGCTTCAGTGGCATCCTCTATAGGGCTCAAAGAGACGGAGCTGGCCCTTAATCCCAAAGCTCCGTAGTTTTGGTTCGCTCCGCAGAAGGGCGGATTCGGGGGCCTTCAACCAGCTAAGACTTTTAACAGTCGCAGTGTCGCAAGGCTTGATATAGCGTCAAAGCACTAAATACTTATTTTATGCTTGCTGAAGTGCCCTTTTCGGTGTACCTTCGCTGCGCGCAGCACGGAGGTGCCTGCGGGGACCTTCGAGCAGCACAAGGTGTAACGCGCGTTCTGTCCTCGAGTGCCATAAGCTTTGAAGCGCCATGTGAGTCGAAGATTCACAATGTAGAAAGACACTAGTGCTGCATATTGATAGATCAAATTGAAAGTCGCCGACGACAGGCTATATGTCTTCGCGACTAGCAGCGTGCAGTCCTAGGCGCAATAATCTACAAACACACGGTTGGGTCGCCTGTACTGACATAACGTTCCACCTGAGTTCTCATTCGCAGAAAATTAATCACAGACTCAACCCAAGGTTAGTTGGGTTTTCTTGCAGGCTTTTCAAAAGAGCTCTCTCTCCACCTGTCCGCACCCCTCAGTGTTCTGACATGCATAGAAACATACAGGTAGGGTTGGTGTTGCTGCACTCTCTAGGCTTACCAAGCACTCGCAACTAGCTACGCATTCCATCTAGTGCACGCAACCACCCACAAACACACACATTTTTTGTGTCCTTTTCCATCGGGCCCACAGTACCCTACGACAAGAAGTTGGACTAACAAGCAAACCAGTTTGTCAACTCCTCACCGATCAAAAAAAATACAGCGTGTCATAGTCTGAGTGTAACGAAGCCCTATACAACTGCGGCAAATGCGGCTTTTGCTTTTCCAGTTGAAGCACTGCCACGGCCACACGAGCCGCTGTTTGCGCTTACACCACTGCCACTTCCTATCGTAGCAACAGCGACAAAGGGTAGCTAGGCTGCTAGAAGCAGGCAAAACGACAGAAGCGCTCACCCGAGCGGCACCATATAGAGATACTCAAAAGCAAAACACCCGGTGGCATACCGCAACTAATGGCATTAAAAGGAGCAGGTGCTGTTGCTACCAAAAGGTGAAAAAAGGAGCAGCAACAGCCGATGCAAGCGCTTAGAAGTGAGCGTCACCCCGCCTTCATGGCAAGCTACTGGAAGCCCTCTGCAAGAGAGCAGAGAGCCGGCACTGCAAATGCTGCACCGTCCAGCTGTTGCTGACCCTCTGAAGGTTCGCAAAAAGGCGTGGCTTAGCGACGAGCAACACGGCAAAAATAAAGCCCCGCATGCGCCAACAGCAACTTTTAGGAGCGCGCTTGGCGCTTGACCTCCCATATTTGCCGTCGATCTCGCCACCCTGCACCTCTGCCCTCGGTCTTATGGGCTAGTTGCATGCATCTTGTACACGCACGCGTGCTGAGCGCGCGGTGGGCTGTGGCTGGCTGGCTTCGGGGGAGGGGGTGGCTTGGAGCCTACTAAGCTAGCTACGCGAAAAACTGACTAGGGAAACTGCGTAGCACAAGAGGCGCAGGTAGGCACGTACAGTGGGATTGTCTAATACAGCTGTTTGCACGATATAATTGCGGAAAGAAGACCAGAGGCCCCTACGAACCCCTCACTGAGGTTTCGGTGGAATAGGACGGCGGGAAGGCCAGTCATGTTGATGGCAGCGGGCATATCACCTGCAGCATCCGAAGCACACGAAGAGAGCCGCGACGGATGAAGGCAGCAGCACAGGGGACGCCAAAAGGAGATGGGGGAGCACAAGGGGCGGCGCAAGGTGGAGGAGCCAGCGGCGATGCGGGGAGGCGAAGACACACAGGCAGCGCGCAAGGCCCTTTATAGAAACGGACAGGCCATATCCCAAAGCGTGCAGAGGCGAGCAGACTTTTTCGCGAGGCAAGGAGGGCCTTACAGCATTGCTTTATTAGATTCAGGCGCGCAGTCTTGTGGGCTTGCTGCTGCTGCAGCTGAGCTGCCGTTGTCTCCTTTAAATCCTCAACCTCGCCTTCTTTCTTGAGGCGTTCCGCAGCAACTGCTGCCTCGTGCCGCAGCCGCAGCACTTCGCACCAAACCCCCGCTAACAAAGCCACCAACCTGCAGCAACGACAGTAGAGGCAGGCTTCATCACACGAGCAGCTGCAGCTGCAGCGCGGCAAGCGCTAGCCAAGATGGCATCGATGTCAACGGCAGCAAGCATCTGCAGAGGCGTAGACGCCACCCCAAACACTAGGCAGCACCCCGCTCACCAGCAGAATCCCGAGAGTCTGGTGAGCTTCTGCTGACTGTGATTCATAACTTTGAGTTTCGTGAGAATAAACGCATTGTCCGCAAGCCAGTAGCACAAGAAAGCGGCCCGACATATCCCCTGAAGCACCTAAACCACCAGAGTGCGCATCAACTCCACACAGCCAAAGTCTGATAAAACAAACTCCCCAGCACACCCATCCTTCCTGAAGGCCCTATATTTGCAGCGAGCTCTTCTCTCCAGAGACAGGAAAATTTTATCAGGCTTGAGGCGTACATGGATCTTCTTGTCGATGTCTGCTTCTGGAGTCTTTGCAGCTGCCAGTCTAAGGAGAGCTGCATACTCGTTGATGAATTTACCGAGACGAAACACCTTGCGGCTATCGGCACTCGCACCTGCAGCATATATACATACATATATACATACATATATATATATGTGTAAATACACATGCACATATACATATATATATATAAACGCTTATATATATACATATACACATACATATGCATATACATATACACATACATATGCATATACATATACACATACATATGCATATACATATACACATACATATGCATATACATGTTCACACGGGACTGCCTTCTGCGGCTTAGGTGGCACACTACTCTCAGCCCCTTTACATTTCTCCACTAAAAAAAAAGGCCCTTTGCCCTAAAGATCTTCCCTGCACGCCATGCCATAGGCTCCAGAGGAATTCAACCCCACAACCCCACAACCTTCCCCCTCTCCCCACGATTCTTTCGAGCTTTGCCAACACAGGCTTACGGTAAACGGCAGTAAATTTGGAGGCTGCCTTCGAGTTACTGACGGCCCAAGCAAGGAAGCGGCAGCCGTACTGCAGCGCCTTTGTGACTTTGTCCCTTCCCTCTGCAGAAAAAGCGGCACTAAAAGCAACGCCAGCAATCGCAACAGCCTTTTCTAGAAATTCCGATGCTCGTAACATGCAAGAAGGTGGTGCAGCTGCAGCAACATAAAGAGCTGCGCGAACAGGCTGCCACACCCAGCAGCCGAACCAGAAAGGGCATTGCCAGTGCGTGAGTGAGTAAGCGGTTACAACTTTTGACAAGCCCACAACGGATGCAGGACCAGCAGCAAAGACAGCAACAAAGACAGCAACAAAGACAGCACCTGTCTTGTTGAGGAAAGCAACAATTTTGTCTGCCTCGGCGAGGCGGCTGCTATGCAGATGCGTCAGCTGAAGATTCATGGTTCGCTTGTTGTGGTACAGCTGCAGGGGCAGCTAGCTGTGGCGTCTGCCGGTGCTCTGGGAGACTCTGAGATGTATCGGACGCGCCGAGGCTACGATGCAGCGTGGTGTATGCGTTGTCTTCTCGTTCCTCCTGAGAAGGCAGTGGTAGAAGCCAACTCCACGAGCCCTCCTGCAGCGGAGAATCAATGAATCTCGGTGTTACCAAGAGCGCTCATGGAGGGAGAAAGCAACGCCTTCGACTTGCGTTGCATTAATGCTGCTTCTTCCCGTGCTGGTGTTAGTTACTGTTGCAGGAGCTGCAGTTGAACAGCCCCTCGCGGCTGCTGGTACTACTATTCCTGTTGCTGCCAGTGCCGTTGCGGCTGCTGTAAAAGCCGCGGCACACACTGCGAATAGAGTTGTCTCTGAGATAAGCTGTTCGGCTGCATGCATTAGAAGGGAGCAGCAGAGCTGACGCAATCTGAAGCAGCTGCGTGCCAACGAGAGTCAGCGAGAGTCAGCGAGACACAGGCGACGTAGCAGTAACAGCAGCAGCAGCAGCAGCAGCAGCAGCAGCAGCAGCAGCAGGACAGCAGCAGCAGCAGCAGCAGCTGCTGCTGTCCTATTAAAGGGGCTGGTGTGGGTTGTTGGCGGCGCCTGTTTACGTGCAGCGACAGCAGGGTGGCGTGATTTTAATGTTTTGCCTCTTTCTAAAACGTATTTTCTGCTACGGACTCGGGTGCTGGCGTGTTGCTGCTGGCGATTCTGCGGCTGCAGCTAACGTTCCCGCAAGCGGGCTGCTGCTGCTACAGCAGCCCCTCCAGCAGCCGCAGCAGCGTTTGGCGGTGTAGCGGCATTTTTTAATTGCTGTTTTAGCGTCTGACTGCTGCTGAGGGACCCTTGCAATCGTATTGCTGCGCGGCGCATCACCCGCCAAGAGCGGCGGCAGCCCCCTCGTTCAGCAGCAGGAAATCCTCTCCCCTCCCCCTCCGTCCCTACGCCGACGTGCAGGAGCAGCAGTAGCTAGTCATAGGCCCTCGAATTGCACGGGAGGGCACATAAAGAAGAATCCGGTCCCGGATCTGTTCTCGGATCTCCCTCCGCTGCCGCTGCCTCCCGCTGCTGCCGCTGCCTCCCTCCGCTGCCGCTGCCTCCCGCTGCTGCTGCCGCTACAGCTGCACGGCCAGCAGCAACCTGTTGCACAATGGGCCGTTCGCACTCCCCCCCCTCGCGCCGCCGGCGGCACTCGAGGAGCCCTGGAGGCAACGACAGACACCGGCGGCACAGACACAGGCGGCGCAGTGTGAGCAGCAGCAGGAGCAGCAGCAGCAGCAGCAGCAGACGCCACCCCCGACGACGGAGCGGCGTTTCGGCCATTCAACAGACAGCAGCAGCAGCACGAGATGGCAGCAGCAGCAGCAGGAGGAGACACTACAGGCGCCGCAGCAGAAGCGGCAGCCGGAGTGTGGGACGTCCAGCCCCCCGCCGCTCGCCCTCCCCAGTGCAGCAGCATCAGCAGCAGCAGCATCCGCACCCTTACAGAGGAGGAGGAGGGGGGCCCCTTGGCAGCAGCAGCAGCAGCAGCGCCGCCACGCCCAGCAGCAGTCGATACGCAGGCGGTGGGAACCCCCCGCTCCCTCACGCTCCCGTGTCGGTGTCGTACAGTCATGGAGGAGGACGACGTGGAGAGCCACCAAGTCTTTTGCCCCCTCTGCCTCCCCACGCAGGCTCGGGGATCGGACCGCGGAGTGCGGGGTGGGGGAGCCCTTGGGGGCCCCCCTCCTCCGGGGTGGGGGGGGCCCCCTGGGGGAACGGCGGCAGTCCGTGGAGCAGGCGAACTCCGATACACCCCAGCGATCCAAGAGCTTCTCAGGGGGGGGAAGCGGGGGGGAAGTGGTGGCGAGCGGCCTCTCCACCTCCCGAATTCTTCGCAGATCGCTTGAAGATACGAAGGGACATGGAGAGGGCGCAACAGGAGAAATTGCTGCGCAAGGAGCAGAAAAAAGGTCGGGAATAACCCGCGATTAGGTGCTTGGGGATGTGCGCGAGTCACATGCACGAAAGAGGGGTCCATTAGTAGAGGGCACCCCAGAAAGAGAAGGCAAAGAGGGAGACAGACAGGCAAAGAGGGAGACAGACAGGCAAAGAGGGAGAGACAGGCAAAGAGAGAGGCAGGCAAAGAGGGAGACAGGCAAAGAGAGAGAGACAGGCAAAGAGAGAGACAGGCAAAGAGGGAGAGACAGGCAAAGAGGGAGAGACAGGCAAAGAGGGAGACAGACAGAGACAGAACTATGGGCTTCGTATGGGGAGTAGTCATGGGGAATAGTCATGGAGAGTGATCCTGAAGAAGAGGCATGGGGAGTAGTCGTGGGTGGTTATGGAGCTTTGTGAGCACGTTGGGGTGGTGTATTGGATGCTTGTGCATATGTTACATGAGAGCATTATTTGTAGGCTTTTTGAGGCTAGGCGGATGGTGTTGAGGTCCTGCAAGAGTTGGTGTGAAACTTTTTCTTGCGTGTGTTTGTGGGGTGCAGCTTTCCGTCGCATGCAGGTGGCACAGGTCAATAGGCGGGACCAGCCGCCCTTCTTGTTGAGAGTGTTTTGCCGCTTGGATTCTCAGCATGCGCTGGAGGAGTTCAGAGTTCGGGGGCAGGAGCCTGTGCAAGACGAATTGCAGGTGCAGTTTTGGAAGGCAGTTGGACTTGGGCGGTTCATTTCGGCGACTGAAGCCATGGGGGAGTTGGCAGGGTGTCTTTAAGGGTTTTTTTGGAGTTGAGAGCGAGGGAGGGAAGTGAGTGATTAGCGGGGGGGGGGGGAAATGGGTGGTCATAAGACGCGACGCTCGGGAGCCAGGGTCTGTGTGCCTCAGGTGTACGCGTGGATGGATACGCGGCTTCGGGAGATTTGTCATTTGATTAAGGATGTTTGCGCAGAAGCTCGCGATAGAAAGGCCGTGTGGCATTTCAGACTTTGTTATCCAGGTATACATATACATATATATGTATATTAGATTATGCATTCTATAGATATAGAAGGTGAACGTTGGAAGGGCGTTATACAAGGGGCTGGCAGCGGTGAGGCACATCTCTGGAGTGCGAGGTGTGTAGGGTTATGTTTGTACAGACAAGGAGGGACAGAATGTCTTCGCCGATGTGGGCATGCTGCACTCTATTATTCCAGACCCTAAGGAAGACTCGCGCACCCTTGCTGTAAGAAGTCGCCTTTGCTATTGAACTGGCAGGCGCTCTAGAGTTCGCCGCATGCGGATTCTATTTTTCTTTGCATGTTACCTTCTCTAGAGGGGCCTCAGGCGTAGCTTTGGAAGGTATGAGTGAGTTGTATGTTTGAGGGTGCCTACGTTTTTGCAGGACGTAAAGTTTCAGGTAGGGGATTTCTTGCTGCTTTCCATCATGCGGAAGCGGCAGCAAAGCAACAAGCGGCTGGCACCGCATCCAGATCCGAAACTGAAGATGCAGGAGGGGTGGGAATATCAACCGAGGCCTACTATCCTACACCAGCTCAGCTACACCCCTGTTGCTGCTGATGGGAGCGCAAGTAAGAGCACAAGTAGCGTTGCGGCTGCCCCCGCTCATGCGGCACTGCCTGGCGACACAGTCGCTGCAGACTCGGAGGAAGAACCAGGAGAGGCGGAGATGCAGAGAAGGGAAGGCACTTCAATGAGCGTCGATGGAGTGCATGCTCTTCCTTCAGCTGTAGCCACTGCTGCTGCTGCGGCTGCTGTGGAGAGCAGCAGCAAGACGGCGGCACTGCCAGAAGGAGAGGAGGAGGCAGCAGCGGCTGCGGATGACGCCAATAAGGAGCAGCTCGAATTGGCGGGCGAAGGGGACTTGGGTGTACAGACACTGCAGCAAGAGCAGCAGCAAGAGAAAGCTGAGACGGAAGAGGCACAGAGGGATGAAAAAGCCGGCAGCAGCAGCAGCAGCAGCAGCAGCAGCAGCAGCGCCGGTGGCGATGGAGGTGTAGTAGGTGAACGCCACGGAGATGCAAAGTATGTATAGTGTGGTTGTCTGCCGAGACAACGGGGGAGGGAGGGAGGAGGCACTGCGCTCACCGCGTTGGCAGGACTAAGGGCAAAAGGAGCTGCAGCACGCGTTAAAGAAGGTTTCTTCTGTCTTATCTTCCAGTGCCGTTGTGTGTGTGTATGTGTATCTGCGCAGTAGGGAGGCCGAGGAGGAGGAGGCAGAACCAGCATCCAAGTCGAGCCGGAAAGGCAGCAGCAAGAAGAGCAAGACAGCAAGTGCTGCTGACAGCAGCAGCAGCAGCAAAAAGACGGCGGATGGAAAGGGAGAGGAGGCCTCCGTCAAGAGGCGCTCTGCCCGACTTGCGAAAGAGAAAAAGTAGCAGCAGCAGTCAGACGCCGCTGGCCGTGCTTTTTTGCTGTAATTGCTACAGCAGCATTTGAGTTAGTGGCTCGCCAGCGATAGACACAGCTCTTGGGGCGAAGGTGCACGGGAGTACTACAATATATATGTTTCCATATATAGTATTGCAGCGCAAACTTCGTGTCGTCTTCACTTCGAGCTGTGCGGCTTTTCCATTTACTTCTCCCTGCTGACAGACACATTGTTGTCGTAGGATTTGTGTCTTGTGGTTCTGCATATGCTGCTGCTGCAACTATGGCCACTTCAGTCGTTGCTCGCCTTGTAGTATTGTAGTTCGTGAGCGAGTTGTCCGTGCACGGAAGCTGCAACAAAGGGGGCACATGGAGACAGCTCAATCTGCACTTCCCTTTGCCCGCTGCCCCCACAGTCGGGTAACAGCATGCTGCGCTTGCACTACCTGTTGCTGCAGTAGCCATACACACACGGTTTGTGCTTTGTAACAGCCAACAGCGACCAGCTTGGTGCAGCAGCCCTTGCTAGGTGCATCTGCTGAGGCGTAACGCCGTGTGCTGCACACCAGCGGGCTCGCCATCCCTTCTTCAGCCTGTAGGGGGTGGGTGGGGGCGTTACACATCAAGAGGCCTTCGGAGTCGCGAGTTTGCTACCTGGGGGTGTTATTCAGTAGGAGTAAACAGCAACATCGGTTCCTCAGACAGGAAGTACGCACAAAGGACTTCCCGTCTGTACTGCCGGTGAGGGAAGAAAAGTCCATGCTGTCAGTATTTTGATTAGGTGGTATGGCATGGGGGAAGAGCGTCACGGTTTAAACTGGGGGCGTTCTAGCGCACGGGGGAAAAGTTCATGGCGGCGAGGGCAGGAAAGAATTCCGTCCGACGTTACAGGGGAGTTGTGTCTCAAGTAGCTGTATGTCGGCTGCCGTATGGAGGCGTTATCCTTTGCAAAGCAAAGGAAGAGGGCATATGGCCATTCACACATCGTGGGTCGCTTTCTGTCATGATGGGAGCGCGGTACGCTTCCAGGAGGGAATGCAGGCTCTTTGCAACCACATGGTCATCCTTATTCCAAAAAAAGCGACGGGCTGTTTGCACGCATAGCGTAATCAAGAGTGACAAACGCAAGACAGGTTGGCTGGGGCGTAGCTTGCTCTGATACGGAGATTCTTCATGCTGCAACCCGATTGTCTCGAAGGCTCTTGCTCCTTGTTTATCGCCCTCCCTTACTTTCCTCGGCGAGCAGCAGATAGCTACACCTCCGAGAGCCTCTGGTGTGAGCTGCTCTCCACGATCACCTAAGGTCTTCATAGGAAGACAGTTTACTACTGGCTCAATACGAACTTACTAAGAAACTATGGAGTGCCTCTCAGAGGGGCTCTTTCCTGTGTCTGCCTGCGCCCCTCAAGATTCCCGAAATCACGGAAGAAGGGCAGCTAGGGAACACAGCTGCACCCTGTATGCAGTCCGAGAGTTCACAGCTAGTTGCACATAGCGTCTAGCAAAAATGCAAACATAATTGACTTTTCTTGTATCGACCGAACAGTATTCCAAATTAAAAAAGATATACGGACGGGCAAACCAGTCAGCCACATCTGCACTAATTGTTAGTTTAGTACGCCCAGTGTAGCAGTAGATTAGGTATGGCTTTTTTCACGTTATTATCCCCCAGCCCCCACTCATTTCAAAATACTAACTCCCGTGTTTCTCGTGTACCTGTCAAGTCCAAATGCATACAAGACAGCAGAAGAGTTCTCGCCCGATCGCCACTCCGCATGGAGCTAGAAACGCGGAAAGTGGTGCAATCAAGAAGAGCGTAGTATGGACCAACCGGCACATATACCTCGATAAGGAGGAAGACACACACATCAGCCAATAATGAACGAGCGACCAAGCCAATGAAAGCACGGAGGCGCGATGGCCCGCTGTCATCAGAGCGCGCCCGCTGTCATCAGAGCGCAGAAGTATGTGAGCCTCTTGCTACTACAAAAAACAGCACAGCAAAATGTGTGAATGGGATCAAAACACGCACTATTTTAAGAGAGCCTTTCCTCCCCCTGAAGCAGTTTCTGCATGCAGAAACAGTGGTTGCATCAAGCAGAGTCGGTTTCGAACCCCCCGAACAGACCCATAAGGAAGAATGTAGGAAGAAACGGTTGCGAGTGCCTACGCATAATCCGCATGTAATGAACAGCCTAGCAACATTAGCCGAAAATGTTTCAAGCAAAACCCATGAATATAGCTGTTTAAGGCAAGGCTTGCGTTGGGGAAGGGCAAATACCAACATGCAAGATGGACATTGTCCATGGTAACTAGCCGTCTTCTAACAGCGCAGCCACAAAATTCTGTTGTATGCAACGAAGCCGACATCCTGCAATAACTACTGAGGCTTGCACTCCAGAACACAATTATCAAACACCTCCCGCCTTGTCTGTCTTCAGCTGCCAATGGTCCTAAAATTGAGTACTTCTACGGATCCCTGTGGATCCTTCACCCCTTTTGGGGTAGTTTTTAAGCGCAGCCAAGTCTGCAAATAATTTGGGACGCTCCAACACTTCTCCAAGAGCCTAACAATGATTGTCATGTGGTACCTCCAACTTTTAAAGATTTCGATAGTGTAGGAGAAAGTACTGATTTGAGAGAGGCTGGAAAGTGGTCCTAGCCACCTGGCGGTAAACTTCTGAGTGTGGGCGCCTCTTGGCGCACCTCGTACAGATTGCCGATTTGCCAGGATCAAGGCTCCAAGCTCGAAACACAGAGCTGACCGCCGCCTATCGATTAAACGTGCTTATCTCTCTTGAGCTTTGCGCATACCATTGCGTGCAGAAACCACCTGCATGTTGACTTCTTTGCTTCTCAAAGTGGCTGCTGATCTTTGACCAATAGGTGCAGGCCTCGATTGGAGAAGGGCGCAGCAGTGTGGACCAGGAGTGTGGGAGAATAAAAGGCAGTCGAGTCTGTTGTTGTATTATGAATCCAGTCGTCACACGGAAGAAATCAAGCCTAGCAATTTATGGTCCTGTAGTCACAAATCCTGAGGGTGCAAGCTGTCTGTTCATTTGCCTCTGGGCAATTCGTAGTGGCCATATCGTGATCTGTGGATAGGAGTGGCATACAGACACGACAGAGCACACTAACGAACTTCAAATCTCAACCCGTGAAAATACTTCTAGAAACTCCATGAATCCTTTAATCATAAGTTAAAGCTGACTGGATGACTGCCTGATCCGTGACACAGCCGAAGCAAGGGAAGAAACGGCATAAATTTCTGGTTCCGTCGACCACTGCGTAGATGCTTTCGTGACGATATCCGGCACCCCAACTCTAGAGTTCAACATCAAATCGGTTCAAATTCTTTCGAGAAGAGGACGGCTTTGCAGGAGGCTGTGTTGACAAGATTTGAGCGGTTTCACCTACTGACAAAATGGGCATGAGAGTACCGCCACGCGGCGCAACCACAGCCACCGGAGAGACCATCAGGGCCTTTCCACTGCAGTTTGCATGAAACGAGGGCCATAATCATTACAACCAAATGCACTGCACAAATCAACACTGCGATGCGGATTTTGGGATTATAAATGGCAGAGTCCAAGCGTTTTTTTTGACAATGCCAGGCCAAGACTAAGGTTTTGTCGTTGCGGCTTTGGGTAATAGTAGCATATCTCTTAGTGTCGAAAGCATGGAAGTTTTAATGTATACGGTAAGAACTCACAAACACGAGCAAATGTGCTTTACACTAGTGAATCACTGGGGCGTCGTAAGAGCGCGTTGGCAACCACTTGCGTGATGCCTGTGCTCAAACCACTGAAAAGCTGTAAGGTTGTCAGAGTCACAAAGCTCTTAGTAAGGTAAAGTACAGGACTATGGTCCATCTGAACAGTACAGTGACGCAAACACAAATACCGCTGAATCTTTAACGCCGATAACACCGTTTATTGTTCCGTTTCCCGCATTGTATACCGCTGCTCGCATTCGGTGATGTGCTGAAGCGAGGAGGTAATAGCTTAGTGCTTTGGAGACCATATGAACTGTTAATAATGATACCACAAACCCTTGATCACTACCATCGGCTGGTATATCTAAATGACGCTCATCTTGGGGCAGCACGAGTAGCAGAGCTGTAAGGCGGCCGGTATGCATCCTGCTGCTACATCCATCGCCTCTAGCCAAGTCACACTCTGCTTTTGCTTACGTAGATCAGTCAAAAAAGCAGCGAGCGGAGCGAATGTAGGAATGAAGTATCTGAACTAAGCTAGGTGCCAGTACAATTCAGTAGCGTCCCTGCAGCAGCGTAAAGGTAAAGGTCACGTCTTGAGTACCTCAGTTTATGCTGAATCTGGCTCAATTTCTTTGACCAAAACCCCCTTTTCGGCATATATAACTATTCACATGAAATACGAACACTCGCATGTCTTCACATAACACAGCTTTCCTGCAACAGCTGACGCTCACTCCGTAGGTACATGAGGTGCCTTTAGATGTTTCTGCTGAAGAGCACGGCACCGTTCGTATCGACACCCATCTAAATCTCCTTTGATATGCACAGAAAGCTCCCATGTAACTCTCCAATGCAGTTCACGTGGATTATTAACAAGCCTTGAAGGCATACAGCTATGCTCGAGCTCACGAATGTGAATGTGGACCGCTGTTTTGCGTCCGTCATCAGGGCGAACGAAGATTTGTGTAGAAAGCGACGGTAAAGACAAATGCCGAGTAGACCGCGGATACGTGTAATTTGTGATTTGCTGCTAAAAGACACTGGAAACTTCCGCTTCACAGTAGTTTGATTCAAGGGGTCAAAGTTGCAAAGCCTTCTGTTCTGCTACCAGTCAGTAAGTTTAAATGTTAGGCACTAAGCTAGCGAGTGACCAGGCCTATTGCATTCTTGCGTTGTTTCCTCGAGTAGCCGATCCACTGGACACCTAGTTTCAAGCACCGAAATCAATCCTCTACAACTACTGTGTGCTTTTAGAAACGCGAAATTGCCCCATGCTGAGTCTCAGCTGAGGATCTATCCTCCGTAACCCTTTATAATGTGCCACTGGCTGGGAGGGAGACTTGCAGTTTCTTTGATGCGTCTGATTTACTTGCAAAGCACTCTGCTTCCGCTGGCTCAGTCCCGTTGTTCAAATTATGTGGATTTTTGCATGTGCTTGCCGTTCTAGATGAGTTGACCCTATTTTTCAAAATAAAACTAAGTGCAATGTTGAGGGGCTGTGAGTGGTTGCCCATAGGCGCTGGGTCCTTCTGGCTTTGTTTTTGCGTTCGCTTTAGGCTGTAGGCTGGGGTCAATTGACATAGCCGTGGAATCCCTAGGTTTTGAATACCGCCTTGGTTTTTCTTTTTTAGCGGGAGGCGCAGAATCTGCCTTCGTTTGTTCATAAATCCTCGAGCAGAGCATCATCTGCAGAAGTCCCGCCGTGGGGTGTTTAACTAATCGCTAATTGCTACCTCTCCCCTGACCACCAGCGTGACACTTCAGGTAGACCCGAGATAAGCCACTGGTAGAGCAACTGGTTTCCCACGTTGTGACTTTGCAAGACAATGTTTCGGATTCCTAGCACTGCCGATCTACTGAAAGATGTCTCTGCGTAAGCTTTCTAAGCTCTCGCAGTGCCGGCAGCTAAGCTGATTTCGGCATGAACCGATGCTTCACCACTTGCGTAAAGGCTGAAGCAGTTCTAGTTCCTGCACACTAGCGCCTTCCTCTGCACGAGTGCAGTTATCGTTGAAAAGCTTCTTCCTCAAATTACCACGCCGCGAGGCGTATTTGTTTCTCTTCATTTGAGGTCATCTGAAGGTTATAAAGCAAGGAACATCTCCGAACCGCTCATGAAATCTGTAAGTGATTGCCCATCCTTACGTGTGGCATTCTCTTCTGGTCGCCAATACCGCATCCACGCATCCCGAACCTTCTAGTATCTGAAAAATCATGGCGTTTTACCAGCTGGGGGCCACACTGCATTTACCTCAGCTTGTAGGCCACCTTTGCCACCCGAAAATGCGTTGTGTAGTCTGACAGTTGGAGACTTTCCCTCCTCCGTTCTGCTGATGGAAACCAACTTATAGAATTGCGTAATGTTTCGATCGAGACTGAGCTGTTTTGGGCCACTGCATCCACAGCCAGTGGATGGGCGAGTAACCGCTACACCGCTTTATGCATTGTTTCCACCTGTAGGCTCCCATCTAATTCTTTAGTAGACACTCTAAGCTCCAGGCTAAGTACAAGCCTAATAAAAAGCGGTTCATGGTTTTTCTCGAAGGATGGCTCACTACCCCTTCCTGCCTCCCTCAGCACTTCCGACATGAGGCGGAGAGGGGCAGATAGGATACACGTAGCTGCATTCTCTAAGCGGTCCTAGCATTCACAACTGGTTGCACGTAGCATCTAACGCACACGCTCATCACATTGTGTCTTGTAGTGCCGAGCTGAACCCCCACGAGCAAATACAAGATAGGAACAGCCAATCCATGGAACCATTTGTCTATCAGTTCTAGCTAAACTGTAATTAGTGTAGTGGAAACTGCCAAAGTGTAGTTTCGCCCGCTACAGAGAAACTTGAGACTGCACTACACTCACGTCCTCCGGGCCGTAGCCGCACAGCACTCGTGGTTGCACCCATGTACGAAGCAGCCGCATCAACAAGAGTGGTACTGTTAGCAGAAGGAGCAACTTGCAGGAAGAGGTAACAAGAACAGCAGCAGTAGCAGCAGCAGCAGCACCTCTGCATTTCTCGTGGTCTGTGTCTGGTAGTGGACCTTCATTGGCGCGATCCGCCGAATAGTCCAGACCAGCCTGTCGGGGCTTTCGTCTTCTGAGAGGATGACACTTGATACGAGGCGCATGCACACGACACTGAAGATTTAGGTTCAAGAAGGGTGAGGGGTGTTGGTGGCCGCGGAGGAGTGAAACCGCGATTTGGATCTTGCCTGACGGCGCAGCACAGTAGTGGGTGTCTCATGAACGCGGGGGAGCATAAAGGGTTCATTGCCAGTGCAGAGCGATCTCGAACAAAAATGCAGCATTCCGTGACGAGAAAGGCGGAAGGAAGCGGCGGGAAATCCAGCAGCTTCGCGCCGCTACCTGCGCTCTGCCGAGCAGCCACGGTTGCAGCTGCTGCAGCGCTGCCCCTTGACAGAGGTTTACGGTTTGGAGTTATCTTTACTTTTTAATGAATTACAAGTGGTTTCAGCAGGCTTGGAGTAGCTGCTGCTTCAGGGCAACAAGCCACCGTCCGTTGACATGCGGCGGCAAAGGTGGAGCTGGGGTCTCCCTCTGTCTGTCGAAACCCTGTCTGCTGCTTCGCCGTTGCGCCTTTGTCTTCGCGTGTATATTTGGCAACAGCAACAGCGCCAATAACCGCAGTTGGAGCAGCGGACTCAAAGGTTTCCTCCAGACGCTCTGGTGCTGCGCGGCTCTTGAACGCTGGTGTACTGTGGCTGCGGATGCAGCAGCAGCAGCAATGCCGCGGCCAAAGTAACACTGCAGGGGCCGCTGCCCTCCGAGCAGCAGAAGTTGCAGCGCCTGCCGTCGCGTCTGCCACTCCCGCTGCAGGCAGCAGCTCCGCAGGTGTAGCTACAGCGGCACCACGTGTCTTCGCGATCTCTAGAGCGGCAGGGGCTGCAACCACCGCAGCGACGGCAAGATGTGGCGGATGGCTGCACTTCTAGGCGCAGGAGCCTCTACAGAGCCTCCCCATCAAAGTCGCCTGGCCCCTCTCTCGCTGCCCCCCTCTGCAGCTGCCGACTGCAGTGCGTCGACCCTTCCCCTGCTCCAGAGAGATTTGCTTCTGCAGTGCAGCCGAGGCACGCGCAAAGGCGAGCTTTACGTTCTGCAGCGCAACACGTCTCTGGCGGTAACAGCTGCTGCGGCTGCAACACCAACTCCAGCTGCTGCGGCTGCGCCTCCTCCAGAGAGGCATGCCGAGTCTGGGAAGCAGCAGCGAGGGGCCGAAGGAGCAGCTGATGCTGGTGCTGATGCGGCTATGACATCGTACGATGCTTCGAAAACGACCTCAAAACTTGAGCAGCCACAACAAGCGATAGGGCTTCCGCCAGAGGGAGGTATGCTACGCTGCACACCGCCGACTCCTGCTGCCCCTGTTGCTTTTGTGATCACTTAGCGGGTTTAATGGCAGCTGTTGCTGCAGCCACACTGCCCTGCCTGCCTGCCTGCCTGTGTATGTATGTATTTGTGCCTGCATGTGTTTATGCCTGCATGTGTTTATGCCTGCGTGTGTTTGTGCGTGTATGTGTCTGTCTGCCTGCCTGTCTGTGTGTGTCTTGATTCTGCAATACGAGTATTGGTGCTTTTGTTGCCGCTGCTTCTTCTCTTGCGCCGCAGTTTTGTGGCTTGAAGTCCGAGGCGATCGAGCTACTCCGATTGCTCCCTCCCTGGTGGGGGTTGCTGCCGTTACCATCCCTGCAACGCAAGCAGGCAGGCGTGAGCGGCTCGTGCAGTGCCTCGAACTGCGGGGTGCTCCCCGGTTGGTTCTGGAGATGGAAGAAGCCTCCGCTGGCGGCAACAACGGCAGAGATTTGCTGCTGGAGTTTCTTGAAGTCTACGGGCTGCTGCACCTCGCCGCTCCCATCCGCAGCAAGCTGCAGCAGCAGCTGCAGCTGCGAGGCTGCTGCTGCAGGAGGGGCCGTCTACAGCAGATGCTGCGGAATAGACAGCGACTCCAGGGGGTCCGCGCAGTCGTAGGAGGAGAGCTGCTGCCAGCACTTGCTCCAACAGAAGCACTTGCTGCAGCAGAAGCAACGGCCTCGAAAGCAGAGGCATCCGCTGCTTCAGAGGCACTCGCTGCAGCGGAGGCTTTCGCTGCAGCAGAGGCATCCGCTGCTTCAGAGGCACTCGCTGCAGCGGAGGCTTTCGCTGCAGCAGAGGCAACGGCCTCGAAAGCAGAGGCAGGGGTTGCACAATTCCCTCTTGGAGGAGCAGCTGAAGGGGTGGCTGCAGGGGCAGCTGTAGCGCAGAACGGCAGTGCACACCATGGCAACAGCTCGAACGTGGGAAGCCTAAGCAGCACTTGCATCTCCACTATCACGGCATTGGAAGAAGCTACAGCCTGCGAAGCGGCAGCGGCAGCCTTAGTAGCATCAGGAGGTGTCGCTGCTGCAGAGGTGCGCGTCTGTGCGTTGCTTTCCTCGGGTGGAGTCGATAATTCTAGCCTTAGCAACAGCGGCTGCCTCAATGGCGACTGCAGGAGGCCAGAGACTGCTGCTGCAGGCGCTTTAGAAGCCGCTAGCAGTCCTTCGCATAGTCCATCAGCAGAGCAAGTCGAGTATTCCGTGCCGGAGGTGAGCAGCAGGGGGAATGGAAAGGCGAGCAACTGTGGCGACTGTTGCGACTGGTGCTTGGCGCATCCTTTGGAGTGCTTGTACGGCTTGGGGGCTGAGCATTTTCTTGCGCCTCATCATAGCAAGGCGCAGCCGCAGGCGATTCTCCAGCAGCCTCAGAAGACGAACGATTTTCGTCGGCCTCGTCAACCCTCAGTCCTTAGTCCCCTTGTGCTTCCCCCGCCTAGCAGCAGCAACGGCAGCGTTAGTGGCACTAATGGTCACAGTGGCATCAATGGGAGCAGTGGCAGCAGAGTCAGCGCGCGTCAAGATGACGCAGTTGAAGTGAGCGCAGAAGACTGGCTGCGATGGCGTTTGGCCTGCAGCGAGATGAGCTCGTTTCTACCCTCCGAGACAAAAGGCAGACGACTCCTTCTCAAGAACGCGACAACGCAAGAAGTGCTTGCGGCTGTTTCTTGGGCAGGTCTTTGCATTCTGTCTGCGGCTGGTGGTAGCAGCAGTAGCAGCAGCAGCGCTGCACGCTGCACAGTGCCTCCTCCTCTGAGGATGTCGCTTTCTCGACGGCCTCCTGCGGTGCTACCCACGCATAACCCCCATCAAGGAGCGGCACCAGCAGCCACGAAGAAGCTGCTGAGGACGCCCATAGACACGCGGAGAGGCTCGAATGAGGCTGCTTGTGCTGCCGCTGCTGGAGGCAGCAGCAGCACAAGCAGCCTCAGTGGCAGCTTGGGGGGGGGGGGGGTTCCTTTGCCCCTGCATCCTTCGGCTCCTGCGATGATTGGTGCTAGCAGCGCTTCCATGGGCCCCTTCGCTCGTCGTGCAGGGAGTAGTGCTCTTCGAAGCGGACGAAATTTCTGCAGAGACTTTGGCAGCCGCAGCAACGCGCGGGCATCCTTCTGCGGCAGCAGTCTTGCCAGCAGCAGCACTTTGTGGGGGGAGCAACGCACTCTGCGATCGCCTGCTGCGGGAGCACCGCTAGACCACGGATGGGTGCATATCAAAAGGCACTGCATGCAGCAACAGCAGCAGGAGCGGCAGGAAGACAGGCTAGAACCGACAGAGCCTGTTGTTGCTGCTGCTGGTGCCGTTGTTGCTGCTGCTGCTGTTCAGCGGCAGTTCGCCTCATCTCCCTCTCTCTGCACCCGCACAAGCCATCTGCAGCAGCCTGAGCACTGGAGCAGCAACACAGGGCTGCTGCATCTTGGCGCATTGACAAGCAGGGATTGTCTCTCGTATTCGCAGCACCAGCAGGAACCGCCTTGGCAAGACGAACAGCGCCTGCAAGATGCTTATGCGCAGAGGAGTTGCGAAACTTCTTCATCCGACGCAGGCACCTTGAAGCCATTGGATTCTCCCGCAGCACACCAGCTGCAGCAGGAGGAGACAGTGCAGCGGCAGCAACAGGAGCCGCAGCTGCAGCAGGAGGAAACAGTGCAGCAGCAGCAACAGGAGCACCAGCGAGATACAGTCAATCACCAGCTGCAGGAGCAGCAGCAGGGGGAAACTTTGAAGCCACAGCCGCAGCAGCAGCAACAAGATACACTCAATCACCAGCCAGAGAAGACACTACTGAAAGAACAGCTGCATCACCAGCAAGGCTTCCCCGCTGACTGCACCTCTGCTGTTGCTCCTGCTTCAGCTGGGTCTAGTAGAGAGGACCTTCTAGAATTGTTGACTTGCAGCAGGAGGCTCACTAGGGTGGCTGTTGCTGAGGGTGACAACCACATGCAGCAGCGTTTAGGACCTCGTCTTTTCAAAGAGTCTGCTTTTCACTGCAGCGCTGCAGCAGAAACTGACAGAGTTGAAGTCGCGACAGCGAAGGATGCAGCAGTAGGAGTCCTTTCAACGGATTCTCCTCGTGGAGGCAGCGATGCCTCCGATGAACACCCTTCTTTTTGCTTGCTGTCGACGGCGCCATCAGCAACAAAGATGACGCTCTCGTCGACAAGCGTCCTAACAGTAGAGGAGGAGGGCATGTTTTATGCTTATGCAGCTGCTCCTGCTGCCAGCATCGAGTCGGCACGTGGCGTCGAAGCCGCCGCAGAAGCTGGTAAATTTGCTGATGAGGCTTCTGCCGCTTCTTCCAAGGTGACAGAGCTCTCAGAATGTGATGTGCTGGACAGAGGCGGTGAGGAGTTCGTAGAAGATGTGGCAACTGCTGCCTTCCCTACACCACCAAGACCCCTCGCGAACGGAGCGCGCGTTCCGCCTCCACTTGACGGTGATGCGCGAATGTCATTAACAGTTCTGAGTCATTCCGAAGGCTTCCCAGTGGTGCCTCTGCATGCACATGCAGCGCCTGCAGGCATGACATGTGCCGCATCGAGTGCTGCAGCTGCATGCAACGAGCACCTGGGACCAGCAGTAGCAACACTGGAAGAGGCAGCACTCATATCCCGATCGCCTTCCCCCTCTCCTTTGCAGTTCACTTGCACAGAGAAGCTTTCCCAGCTCTCGGCGGACGCAGTGACTTCAGCACAGGCAGCAGCAGACTCTCTCTCGACAGCAGCAGACTCTCTCTCGACAGCAGCAGATTCTCTCTCGACAGCAGCAGATTCTCTCTCGACAGCAGCAGATTCTTCCTCGACGGCAGCAGAAAAAACGGCCGCTATAGTCCCCTCCTCCATCTCCTTCGCTGCAGCACAGGCCCCAGAGAAGGGCCCTGCAACAGCTGCTGCAGCTGAGGCATCTCCTTTAAAGGCTGAAACAGCAATAAGAGACACTGCACGGACTCCAACATCAACATGTATTCTTTCCAGCAAAGAAACTTCCCTAGCAACACCAACCCCACCAGGACCACCCAAGGTCGCACCAAATGCAGTAGCAGAAAACACGCCGGAACGGATTTTGGGCTTCTTCTCTCCGTTTGGCAGTGATGCTGCCCTTCCAGCTGCATCCTCGGATACCATGCCTTTCGTAGCCTCCCCTGTCACCGTCTCTGCCACACGGCGATCTCCTGGTGTGGATGCAGTGGAGCACTATCCGGCCGATTCACTCGAGCACCAGCTGCAGCAGCATAAGCAGCAGCAGCAGCAGCGTCGGTCCGTCACGAGGACAGTCGCATCCGCCCTTGCGACAATTGGCACGGTGCCACAGGAGCAGCAGCTGCAGCAGCAGCTGCAGCAGCAGCAGCCGCAGCAGCAGCAGCATGCATATAGGACAGTGCAGAAGGCTGGAGAACTTGTAGAGGGGACAGCAGAGGTGGCAGCAGGAGGAGCCGCATCGCCTCGTGTTGTTAGTGCTCACAGCAGCTTTTTCTCCGGAACGTTCACTCAAGGAGAAAACAGCAGTGCCAACAACGTCAGCTTTGCGAGAAGAAGCAATGCCAGCAGCAACCGGCAGCAGCTCCGCTGGGCTTCTCTTGGCGTTCGCGAGTTGCGGAGGCGCATAGGAATCGAGGATAACAGCAGTGACAGCAGCAGCAGCAGCAGCGATGAGGACGGCGCTGCAGCCAAGGGCAGTTGTCGGAAGTCTTGGGATGTGCGACTGCAGCAAGCCCGTGACCTTTTACTGCAGGAGCAGCAGCTGCAACAGCATCCCCAGCTGCACCATCAGCAGCGTGGATGTGTCGTACTGCCAGGGGAGTTCCCTCCACTGCTAGTCGAATTCAGTGGCGGCGTGTATCATATTCGACTGCAACAGCAGCAACAACAGCAGCAACAACAGCAGCAGCAGCAACTGCAGCAACAACAACATTTGGGACCGTCTACCGACGCTGCGACGGCAGCTCCTGGATCGACCGTAGAAGTAAATTACGTTGTATTCTGCAAAAGGAGCGACTCTACGGCTAGCCACGCCGCCGCAAAGGGCGTCAATGCTAGTAGTGCGAGCCATGTGGAGCCTCCTGCCGCACTGCTGCAGATTCCCCTTTGGTCGTCTCAGCGCGCTCGCTCCGGCGACCGCCTCTATGTAAATGGCTGCATTTGGGAGGTAAATCGATTTGCTGCAGCAGCTGCAAGGCGGCAGGGGTTTAGGGCTTCTATGGAGGATGAGGAGTTGCTTTTGGACTGCCTTCCCGTGGGGGAACGGCTCAGCGCGTCCTTTTACGGAGTCTACGATGGCCATGGTGGGCGCGACTGCGCGCGCTTCGTGCAGCAACGCTTGCATCAGCAGCTGCAGCAGCAGCTGCAGCATCGGTGTGGCAGCTTGGATCTTTCGCCGAGTGTCTTTGTGGATGTGCAAGCGTCGTTGGTGCGCGCGTTTCTGTCTACGGACCGGCAATTTTTGCGAGAGGCACACCCTTTTCAGCTCAGTGGCTGCGCCGCAGTGACGGTGGTGCTCATGGAAGGTTTGCTTTTTTGCGCTAACTGCGGTGACAGCAGAGCGTGTCTGTCTCGCGGGGGCATCGCTGTCGACCTCTCGCGAGACCATAAGCCAGATCGAGCAGACGAGCTAGCCAGGATTCTGGCTGCAGGAGGCCACGTGAAGCAAAGAAGAGTGTTAGGCCGTCTGGCCGTCTCCAGAGCCCTCGGCGATAGGCACTACAAGAACGATTGGGCAGCCGCTTGCAACGGGTGCAGCAGCAGCGGTAGCGCTAGCTCGAGCAGCAGCAGCAGCAGTAAACAGCTCGTGATCGCCGAACCAGAAGTTCGCGTTCTTGCACTGAGCTCTGAAGACGAATTTCTTCTTATCGCTTGCGACGGCCTCTTCGATGTCATGTCAAGCCAGGAGGCTATCTCTTTTGTGCGCGGCAAGCTGCAGGTGGAGCGGCAGGACGGGGGGTGCTGCAGCAGCAGCACTCTGGAAGACGTCGCCAATGCATTGATTGCAGAAGCAATCGACAATCGTCGGACGAGAGACAATGTCACATGTGTTATTGTTGACCTCAGGGCTCCTCTGCAGCCTCCGTCAGAACAACAAAAAGTACAGCAGCTACAGCAGGGATCTTTTGGAGTGTCTACCGAAGTTTCCACGAGAGACTATCAAGAAGAGGGACCTTTCGGCGCCTTTGACAACAGGCCCAGCAGCTAGCAATTCCAACTCCAGCAACAGCGGCACCCCTTGCGCCTTATCCAGACAAGGCGCAGATATATATATATATATATATCTGTATAAGTACCACATTTTTAGGGTCTTTGGCATCTCGCTTTGATTAGGAGAGAGACCGAGGCCACCGAAAGGGAATGCCAACCACGTATCATCAAACGTTTCAGCTTCTTCTCTAGCCCACATTTAAGGGCACGACTTTTTTGTTCATGCCTGCCTATATCTTGCTTCCTTGGATATGTTCTCGGATTTCGGTTGCAGTCGGATACTCATATATTCCATCGTAAATGTACGCAAGTGCCACCATAGGAAGGCGCTCTCTCTACTTCTACATAACGCCACACTGTTCATATGCAGCTGTGATGTGCTGCATCATTCCTCACACCGTCTTAGTGCGCTGCCGCGTGCTGCAAGCGATGGCGTTCAAGTTGCCTTGTGACTTTCGTAACACACAAAATGGCAATGGCAGCCAGCTATCGCCGCTCTGACGCCATCATCCGTGTAACGCTCATCAAGGGTCTTCCTAATAAGGCATATTATTGATACGGCGGGCTAAGCTACGCTTACACAATTTGTACTCCACAAGTTACATTTAGTTTTTAGCAAGCAGCAAAAAATTGATTGCGTAGTTTGGCTGTTCGTATGTCGGAGCTACTGACACATAGTATCGAACACAACAGGCACGCAGTACTCTTGCCGCTTTGAGTTAACGCTGTATTTGCAGATAATGTGGATGCTAGCAACACGCGCACTACCCGTAGCGTGCTCAGCTACACTATCTCGTTGTATTGGACTAGTTATATTAAACTAAGATGAGCGAAGAATCAATTAGCTCCTTTGTCAGTTGATACATCTTTATTGCCGAGTACTATTTGCTCGATGCACGAAGACTTAATGATGTGCGCGAGTGCGCTCGATGCTATGCGCAACAAGGAACTCTTTGAGAAGTACTCAGTTTCTTCACGCAAAGCTTGTGTCGTGTATGGTGTTTAGGGTCTCCCGACGGATTCTTTATCTGGATCGCTAAAGCTGGTAAAAACGCGTGATTCGACATAGCAGTTCCATTCATTCTCTAGCGTTAAGCGCAGTAGTTTGTCATGATCTCTATACTAGCAGTCTTGTTTTGATTGAGTCATTCCCCAACTCAATGATCTGTTTTTCTTCCATCCGATCTGGGAAAAAAAGCGCCTTGATGGCGGTGGAATCACATGGCTCCACAACGCCTTCTATGGCGACAAAGGCCGGCTCCAAGCTTATTTGAAAGCCATTAGGACCACAGCTGGTAGCAACAGCAAGATGTTTTGGGGCGATAGAAGGTTTCGGGATGCGTGGGTGCGCTGATGGCGAACAGGAAAAAGTGACATACGTAAAGATGCCAAGCACTCAGATTTTATGAGCTGTTTGGAGAGGTTCCTCACTTTTTAGCCCTCGAATAAAACTCCAATACGCCTTGCAGTATTGTAATTTCGAAGAGCAGCCATTCAATGACAACTGTAGTCATACAGAGGAAGGCGCAATCGTGCAGGAAGTAAAACTGCTTCAGCCTTTCTATCAAGTCGTGGTGCATTAGTTCATGTCAAAATTAGCTCAGCTGCAGGCACCGCGAGAGCTGAGAAAGCTTACGCAGAGATATCTAGCAGGAGTTCGGTATAGCTAGGAATGTGAAGCATTGTTCTGCAAAAATTACAGCGCGGAGAAGTAGTTGCTTTACCAGTGGACTATCTCGTGTCTGCCCGAAGTGTTATGCCGATGGTCCGGGGAGAGTTGGCGACTGAGCGATCATTTAAATACCCCACTATTGAGTCTTCTGCACATGCTGAAACGCTCGAGGATTCTCGAGCAAATGAAGGCAACTCCAACATCTTTGGTGTTAAATAAAAACCTAAGGCGGTAAGTGAAAAATAGGGACACCACGGCTGTGTCAGTCGTTCCCAGTCTACAGTTTAAATAAGCGGACGAGAAACGCAAGGCGGAAAGAGCCAGCGCCTATGGGCAGCCCCACACAGCGCCCCCACATTGCACCTGCTTCTACTGTGAAAAATTGGGTCAGCTTATGTGGAACGGCAAGCACATGCAAAAGCCACATAATTTGAACAATGGGACTGAGCCCAGCGAGAGCAAAGTGCTTTGCAAGCAAAACAGACGCATCAAAAAACTTCAAGTCCCTCTCACAGCCAGCGGCGCAGTGAAGAGGGCTGCAGAGTATTGATCCACAGTTGGGACTCAGATGGGTTAATTTTGCGCTGTTAAAAGCACACAGTAACTGGAGAGACTTGCTATCGGTACTTTAAACAGGGTGTGTGCGTCTTTTGATACGCCTTTTTTAATGCAGGGTCTTGGTAGCTCGGCGCAAAAAGTGCGCTAGATGCTAGGTGAAACTAGCTGTGAATGCTTAGAGTGCTTACATCGTGCACTCAGGCATGCCCTAACTGCGCCTCTCACCCCTCGGGAACCCTGAAGGGCGCAGGCAAAGGGAGGAGGGAGATCTATTGTGAAGCACTCATTAACTTGCGTTTGAGTATTTTATTGAATCTGAAGTAAAATGTTTTCCTACGGTGGTTTTCGATGGAACGTGACACCTAGGCCCCCTATAAATAGAAAGTCATTGAATGAATTTCGAGAAGAGCTTCCCCCATTCCCTGTTCTTGCCTCTAGGAGTTTCGATGTGAGGGAAAGGAAGGGAAAAGTCAGGGTGCATGTGTGTAGCTGAACTTTTGAACACTTGGACCTTTCACAGCTACTTGCACATAGCAACATCCACGAAGCATACAAAAGCACCACACTGGCTCTTGTTGTATTGAGCTATCTCTATTCTGCAGCAAATGACATATACGAACGGCAGACCGAATGGCCAATTCGGGACTAATTCTTGATTCAATATGACGAACACATCGTGGAAAGAGCTGAAGTGCAGCTTGGGCCGCTTTATTCCGACCACAGAAGGCCCCTGTAAACGGCGAGATGCTTTAAGAAATATGTCTCGTTCATTCTAACCCCTCAATGACCTCGTGTGCACAGTTTAATTCCTAGCCAGATTCCTGTGGCGGTGTGGCGTTGAGGTGTAGGGAACAGAAGTTGCGGTCCAACGTGGCAGCCACACCCAGGGGAGAGTAGGGGGATGAAGTGGTTTTCTCCAGAAGCTTCTCACATGTGTCCCAGGCTGGGGTGCGGCTTGCATATTTACTATGTTACTTCAGCGCAGTCGATATCACGTTTGGGTGTGCATGGACAGACCGCGGTCTATACTACAATCATAGCTAGCCTTCAAATGTCCGGTACCTAAAACAAAGAGGTAGATACCCCTTTGGTCGCACTTGATTTTGAATATACAACAAGCTAAGATGAGCGTCTGGGGCGTCCTTTTTCTCAACCAAACGGAGACATGTGGACGCTGTTTCTCTCAGCATCTTATGTACCAGGCGATTCCGGCACGGCACGAAGTGCAGGAACTGTCTCGCAACCTACAGCCGTTAGCAGCGTAAGCCTCTTATTATTTATGCGTGATTATGGTGCTGTTTGATGCAATAGAGAGTTGTTATTGCGGCCGCAGCCAGCTCTGATACTGCTGCTGCTGCTGCTGCTGCTGTTGCAGGTGACCCACGGTCGATCTCCTGGGGTGTCCATGCTTCCTACCTTCAGTTCTCTGGAGCAGCCTAAATACCATTCTTTTGCTTCGAATGCATTAAAGGCCTTGCTCTAGGCATAGCGGTTGACGGCAGCAGCAATATTCTGTCCACCTTTTCAGCGGCAGGAGTGGGAGATCCGGGAGCAGCGCCAGCAGCTGCAATGCAGCAAGACGTGTAGGTGATGGACAGTTGTCGGGATCGTCTTGCTTCTGGCAGCGGCCTCTCAGCTGCCGCCAAGGATGGTGCGATCCCACAAAAGGACGGGGAGGCGGAGGAGGAAGTCTCTTTACCCCTAGGCTTTCCCAAGGTGGCTGTGCGGGCCTACACACAAACGAGCAAGAGCTGCTCTGCCAGCATCCGGAAGTATGAAGGGCCGCTTCTTGGCGACTGCAGCGACGATGCCAAACCCGTAGACCAGCCTTACATGGCGCGCAACACAAGTAGCACCAGCAGCAGCAGTACGTGGATCGAAAGACGTTTATCGTATGGCACCAAAGGCAGTACTCAGGGGGTAGCTCTCCGTGCTGCCTCTTTCGGGGGAGATTCGGGACGCCCTCCGCAAGCTTCTCCGTCAGAGTTTCACCCTGCATCCTCGCGACAGCAGGTGCCGGCATCCGCCCGATTGCAGCCACGAAAAAGTACTTGCGTATCTCCCGATTGCATAGAGCAGCCAGATAGAAACACTCTCCAGCCACACTGCACGAAGCCGCACTGCGTGGTCTGCGGCGTGTTTTCTCCTAAAGAAGGTCCCCACATCCCGTACCTGCAGCAGCAGCTGCATCCGGACGGCAGCTTCGCAAAGATTCCCCATGATTCTCTCTGCGCTTCCTCCCCCTCGCCGGAAAATGCAACCCTCGGAGTGCCAGCAGCATTGCTGCCACCCCTAGAGGAAGACAATCCGAATGCTAAGGAGCAGGACGTGGAAGCAGAATGCTGTGGCGCCCCCCAGTCGGTGATGCTCGCGATGATGCTTTTCGTCTCCCTACAAATCGTTTTCAATGTAGACAATGGAATCGTTCCAGCAGTGCTGCCTCAGCTGTGGGAAGAGTATCATATTGCGGATTCACAACAAGGTGCGAGGACCTTTTGTCTTGAGCCAGGTTTTTAAGGGAGTTCAGAGTTCTGCCGCTCGGCCCGCGGTGATCCTCTCACTCTTCCTTTAGACCGATGCTAAAAGCTTTTCCATATGTACATATATGTATACATCTACATATGTATATATATATCAATGTATATGTATTTACATGTATACACACATAGGCACAACTACTACGCCCAGATGTGCTGTGTCTTTCTTCGTTTTCTTGTGCGGCCGGAGCCCTTTGCCCCCTTCTCTTTTGCCAGTCCATCTGTGCCTGTCCTGTCTGCCGCTGTCTCCTGCGTTCCTTCCTGTTTTTTGCACCTCCCAGCCATCACATGTACCTGCTTTCACTATTTGTGTGTATCTGAGCGGCGGTTAGCTCTCGCTGTATGCCTTCCTTTCTCGCCGTTCTCGGCAGGCCTTCAGTTTCCTTCTTTTCGCAGTGACACAGCCTCCTTCCCTCCCTCTGATGCCGCCCCCGACCTGTGCGTCTGCCTTGCACGCCATCTTGTAGACGCGCTGTGTCTGTCTGGTGCACGACTTCATGCACCTGTGTTGCCGCCACAGTCCGTGTGCGTCTTTCCGCCGCTTTTTTTTGTCCGCCCTTGGCATGCAGGCCTCTTAGGAGCATTGCCGTACGTTGGCACGGCCCTCATGTCGCCCCTCAACTCCCGACTCCTCAACGCTCTGCTCCCCAAGTGTTTCCTCTGCATCTGTCTCTGCTGCAACACAGCAGCCTGCTGCCTCTTCGCTATGGCTCCGGGAGGCCCTTGGCTGCTGACTGCGCGGCTCCTGGTAGGGGCCACCCAGGCACCCTTCTTCATCTATGCACCCGTCTGGATCGATGCCTTCGCTCCTCAGCAGCAGCTCACCTTATGGCTAGGCTTCTTGCAGGGGGCCGTTGTGCTCGGCATTATGGTAAGCAGCAGACGCCCCTCACGTATACAGACCAGGGCCACCTAAAAAAAGGAGGCAACATGCTCATAAAAGACGCCTAAACAGCTCTAAGGGCCAAAAGCGAAGTCTGCTAAGGCATGCACCGCTAGATGCACGCACGTCATAGGTAGAGCGAGATGGACAGAGCGGCGCAACTAAGAGGGAGCTCCATAAATACTGTAACGCGCACTTTGTGGGTGCTTATTTTGATACTGCAGCTGGGATATTTGGCTGCCGGTTTTCTTCGTAGCCAGGGGAAAGACTGGCGCATTGCAGTGTACGGGCAACTCGTTCTGCTGTTGTTGTTGCTGCTGCTGCTCTCCTTCGTGCCGCCCAAGCTCCTCGATACTGCAGCACAACACGAAAAGCAGCGGGTTCGGCTGGAGCAACAAAAGCAGCAGCAGCCAGCGCAAGAGAAACACGAGGAAGACGATGAACAAGAGGCACGAGGAGGAGGGAAAGAGCAATCCTCCGCAGGGCTCTGCTCGCATCACGAGGAGGACGCAGAGGCGGAGCGGCAGCAACAGCATCCTCAGGAAGTCGAAGAAGGAGCCGAAGAGACCCCAACAAAAGAGAGGCTGCCTTCTTGCACTATTCCGCTGGCGTGCATGCCTCGCGGATTAGAACCACTGACCGTTGTGGACAGTGGAGGAAGGATAAATCCTGCACCTCCTGCTACGAGGCTAGCAGCAGCCAAGGGCGGCTCATTTTCCAGCCAAACTCCGAAAGGCTGCCTGTGCACCGTTGCTGTCGGGACGGATGGCAGCCCTAGCACAATCCAACACACACAACCCCCCCATCAGCACTTCGTTTCAAGTAGCACCCCTTCCAATCTAATGAGCAAGAGCTTTCTGGGGAACAGTTTGGTGTATCCGCTGATGCCTTCGCTCACAACGTACGCCCTCAGAGGACCCTCCGAAAAACCCCCGGCTTCTGGAGTGCTGCCCAAGGCGACAGCCTCTGAGGGTGGCCAAAGCAGCAACAGCTGCTGCAGCTGCAGCAGTGGCAGCTGCAGCAGTGGCAGCTGCAGCAGCACCACGCCACCGGAAAACAGCAGACGAAGGCTGCAGAGGCACTTCAGTGCACCCCCAAAGACCTTCGCCACCGCTGCAAGTCTTCCACCCGAAGTGCCTTCGAGAGTTTGTCGGACATGCAGTGTGCTCCAAGAACCCCAGAGAGTTGCCCAAACACCCACTGTAGGCTCCACCCCACAGCTACCGAAGCAGGAGGCAGAACGGCAGCACTGGCAGAAGCCAGCGGGGCGGAGTGCTTCGCTCTATACACGGATGCTGGAGGAAAGGAGGCTTGTTGTTGCCCAGCAGACGCCGGCAAGTGCAGCTGGGCCCGTAGGTGCAAGCAGCGCCGCAAAGAGTTTCTGCCACCGCTGTTCAGCGAGTCCATCACATGCCTCCCCTCTGGCCCCAGCAGTCTCGCAACGCCAACATCAAGAGCCGAACGCACACCAGCGGACCGGCTGCAGCGTCCCTCTCTCTCAGCCGTTGACTGTGCTTGAGGCAGAAGCTTTTGCTGTAGCGCCAGCAGCAGCCTATGCGCCTTCTGGAGATGCTGCCCATGCGGAAAGTTGCTCCCCCTTTGCCCGACCAAAAAGCCTTCTAGATATGCCACAATCTCCCCAAAGGCGCCATTGCCCGGCTAATGCAACAGGATTTGTAGCATACACAGCAGCACTAGCAGCAAAAACAACGCGCTTCTCGCTTGTGACCTTGCCAGAAAACCAGTGGCAGCAGGAGCCAGCGCAGCACCACCAACACCACTGCCATCAGCAGCACTGCTATGTACAGTCTATGCCCCATTCAGATACCCGAAATTCACTCCATGAGTCCCAAAACGTCGTCCTGGTGGAGAAAGCGTCCAGCAACAGCGGCTCGCTTGGCGGTTCCTTACGACCCCCCCGAAACTCGAGCAGCGGCGATTGCGATGAGCACCGCAGCAGCTGTGCTAAGAAGGGGGAGGCCCTCCAGAAATGGCTCTTCTTTCACGCCAAAGTGCTCGTGCGTAAGGCAGCGCTTGGAGTTGAACTGCTTCAGTACGTCTCAGCACGTGCACTTGCTTCCAGACTGCTTTGGTACTGCTGTGACGTTTGCACAGCGGAAACCCCAGCAGCCACAGTTGAGACTTTTGCAGGTGCTGGTGCTGCTGCTGCCGCCAACAAGCTGTGGTAGCTGAGGCACGGGTGGCAAAACTTTTAAAAGGGCTAGGGAGCCAGCAGCAGCCAGCAGTCGTGCTGCTGTCGCTGGTGCTGGTGCTGCAGGAATCCCCTTTACGGGCTAATGGTTGCGGGCCTATGCTCCTTATTTCTTGAAGTTACGGCTATCCAGTTCTGGTCGACGAAGTACTTTGAGCAAGTGTTACACGTCAGTCAACCTTGCTGCCATTGATGCTGCCATTGCTGCCTCTATATTAGGCCTGCTTTGCGCCACGCTTGACCTTACTGCTGTAGCCGTCACCCTTGCTGCGGCGCTCTCTGTGTCCGTTGCATTCGTTTCCTGCAGGTCCCAACAGCCACTGTTTTGCTGTGTTTTTCGCTGACTGCTGTAACAGCTCCCCTTCTAGGGATCCTGCTCGGCGGCCTCTTGGTCGATTTGGCGGGAGGCTATAGAGAGGGTTCTCGTCCATTCTTCTCGCTGTTGCTGTTGTCTGCTCTTGCTGCTGGGTGTGTGCTGTGTGGCGCGGTGGCAGCAGCAACCAGGTCGTTTGCTGCAGCGCTTACCGCAATATGGCTAATCCTTTTCTTAGGGGGAGGCATTCTCCCTCCGGCAACGGGCCTCGTTCTAGCGTGCGTTCCTCCGGAGAGGAGGACCGATGCATCCGGCTTCGCGATCTTCGTGTATACTGTTTTTGGATATATGCTGGGCTCCTTCTTGCCCGGTGTTCTCAACGACCTTTTAGGCCTCGCGGCAGGCATGCGGGTCAGCTCGATCACGGAGTCAATAGCGCCACGGTTGCAGTTTTTCCGCTCTTGCCGCAAAACCCCCTAGTGCCCTGCCGGCACTGCGAAGGCTCTAGCTGTCGGGGCGGCATGGACCGCCTCCTTAGGCTGCTGATCTGCTGTGCTGCCTCAGATCTCCTTGCTTTGGTCTGTATTCGGTTTCTTCACTTTCGTGGCGGCCACGGTTTTTACTTGGAGGCAACAGAGTGCCTTCCTCGAGGGGCCCCTGGAGAGGCCCGCGGAGGGGCCCTCAGAGGATATTGCGGAGGAAGCGGCGGAGAACCCGCCACCGACTTCCTGAGTCAAACTTTGAAGGCGAGCGCCCTCTGCAGGCGGAGGGACTTTTCTCGTGAGGCCGTTTTTCACGCAATTTTCACACAAGGCCGAAGCCCCACGGGGCCCTTCGCAGGGGAACCCCTGGAGGGTTATTACCCGTCATGGCCTTGTGCAGGGATGCGTGTACAGTGTAAGTAAATATCGCTAAAAGCCGCTACATGCTTAGCCTACGCACCCGCCAACACCGATAGAATGAGGAAGCGGTAGCTGTAGAGACTGCAGCGAAGGATGCCTGCAGAACCTGGGAGGGCCTTTGCGCCCGAGCACTTTTAGGGGTGTTCTTAGGAATAAGGAGCGAGAAGGCAGCCTCTAACGCCTTGGAAAGCAAGCGTATAAGGCCAACACAAAGGCCGAAGGCGCTAGCGCACAGGCCCTTAGCTGCTGGAACCACGCAGACCTATTATTGCTAGCAAGCCCTATTACTGTGGCGGCGGCTACGGCGGCTACGGCAGGTGCGGCTGCGTATTCTGTCAGTGCATACAGCCGCGCTTTCGCCCAGTGCAGCAGAGATTCTCAGTGCAGAGACACTGGAGAGAGTAGACCGTGGAGTTGACTCATGCTGCTTGTGGTGGCCAACTGGGATGGCCCGTCCTGCTATAAAGGCACTAAAAAGGTCCCTAAAGCTGCAAAGTTAAAAGAATCTTGGGCGATTTTCGTTCCTTCCTACCGCAAGTGCTGTGAATCCTTAGATGCCCATGCCCGATCTCCTGTCCGACCGGCGCGCGTCCAGTGACTCAATGCACTCCCCCGTGCTGTCTGCGCCCGTGTCTGCGGTGCCCTGGAAAAGATCTCTGAAATTGAATTCGAGCTTTTAAAAGGCAGTCGCAAGGACTACCAACTTCATCAGACTTGCGAGCAAATCACGAAACAGCGCAAGGGGCCCCCCATCAGGGGCCCGAGGACGTTCGGTGAGCCCTAGCCGCCTGCAAAGTCTCCGCTGCCAACAGCCCTCTGTAGGCTTCCGAAGGTTTTTTTCCTCAGATCCCAAAAGAATACCCTCAGTTAGGCCCGAGATACACTTGGTCGCTCAGGCGCGACACACTGGCAAGCCTGAGCCAGCGTACGGGAGGCCTCACATCAGTCGGCGGCAGCTGCATCGCCGGCAGCGGCGGCGGCAGCAGTGGATGCAAGCGGAGTGGATTCTTGGAGGAACAAATCTGCGTCGTAGAAGACACCTCCTTCCTGCAGGAAGCACAGCAGCACTCTTGTCGTTGTGCTTCTCGCGAGCACGCCCGCCCGCTGACAGTCTGCCACCCTGCAGCTTGCGGCGACTCCAAAGCTTCTTCAGGCGAAAAAGCATCCAGGGCCCCGAGGCGGCCTCGTTGCCAATGCGCTTCACCTACGAGGCAGCCGCACAGAGCGGAGGGACGTGGCTTGCAGTAATTCCATAGCAGCAGCCAGCGGCGAGCAGAATCGATTCAAACTTGGATGGCCCCAGCAACAGCAGAGCGCAGGGAGGCAGGGACCGTCGAGGTTCCTGCCTCCCCAATGCAGACGAGCCGCGGATTGCGGCTGCATATTCGTGGCTTACTCGGGTTTCTCTTGCCGGTGCTCCCCTGCCTCGCCCTTGCGTATTTGTGTCTAGCCCCCGTAGGGACTTGCGGCGGCGCTACAGAGCATGTATCCTCCTCGGGAAGTGCGCATCTGGAAGCCTCGGCCGAAGCCTCCGCAACGCTGCACGTGCACCCTGCGAGCGAGGCCCCTGCTGCATCCTTCGCGACCGTCGGTGCGACCCGCTTGGAGTACCAGAAGGGATCATCGGCGCCTCCAATGTGTCGGCACGCTGGCTGCCGCGAGGGATCCACAAACTCTTTCTTTTCGCAGGAAAAAGGCAGCTGCTTCTCCATTGTCACCTGCTCGTCCTGCCCGCGTCATCCGGAGGGGCGACCTAGGATTTGCAACCTCCTAGGCCACCGGAAGGGCTACCAGCGGCTCATGCAAAACATCCTAATCCCTGGAGCGCCGCCCTCTTCGTTTGCTTATAGGAAAGCGACGGAGGAGGAAATTCTGCGCACTCTCCCAAAGCCGACGCCTTTGAGCGGCCCCAAGGGGGGCGCCGGGCAGACTGCCAGCACACGGCCAGCGTCGCCGTCGGGAGCTCAGGAAGAGGAGGCTGAGGCCTTTGGGAGCGAAGCAGAAGAAGATTTCGACAGCGACGGCGCGTTCATAGAGGTTTCAGAGGGCCCCTACAGTATCGAACGTGCTAATACTGCCAGCGACAATGGCGGTGTCGATGCCACAGCGAGCACCACTGGCCATCACGGCACCAAAGCACGCGCTAGCTTCTTAGAATCGATGCCAGGATTCGATACATATGAGGTAGAAGAAAGTGATTCTTTGGAAGGACCCGATTATGAAGCCAACGTGGGTGGATCGGGTATGTTGCTCGGCACTGGAGTGGGTGCTGGCGGCCCCAGGGGGCTCATTGTGGGACATAACGAGAAACGCATTTTTTCGTTGGCGCCCTCTGGAGTGGTGGGAGATGTGTCGAACTGTCACGTGGATCACAAGGGCTACACGCGCATTCAAGTTGGGGTGGTGGTCTCTTGGAAGGACTCGCAATTGCCGCAGCCATTTGTTTTTGGTACCTTTGGTCCAGAAGCGGGCAGGGGGAGCTCACGCTTTTCGGAGAAAGGCGAATACGAAGCGGAGGGCGACGCCGCGTTAGAAGACTGGGGAGGTGATGGTCAAGGCGGATTTGTTGAGATCGCATCTGCGTCCGGTGATGGTGGAGGTGGTGGTGGGAGGACGAGGGGGAACCGTAGTGTTCTTGCTGCAGCTCTTCCTCCCTCTGTGGGTGCTCTGGCGAGTGAATCTGATGAGAATACGCGTCTAGTGGCTGAAGGAGCTGCAGACAGCGTAAGTGGTGCTGCCGAGCTGCATGAGGAAGAAGCGGCCTCTGCAGGGGCTAAAGGGGCATCGGAATCCAGCGGACTTGCAGCTCGTGGAGGCCCCTCCCCGTTTCATGTGCCGCTTACAGGGACGCCTTCGTACCTTGCATCCTTCTCGCAGCTTAGTGTTGGCTTCATTAAGCGTTTTTTTAAAAAAGGAGATGATGATTTTGCAGACGATGAGGGAGGCGATGGTGGGGACGACGAGGGGGAAGGCAGGAAGCGAGGCGGATTTTTCAAAAAGTTTTTGAGGCGTAAGAGCAGGGACGCGCAAGACGACTATGAAGGAAACGGAGAAGAAGGTGAAGGCGACATGTATGAAAATGAGAGGGGTTTCGGCTCCAGAAGAGGGGGGCGATCGAAGCGTCGAGGAATGAAGAAGTTTGGAAAGAAGATAAAGAGCATTGCGAAGGCCTCTGAAGCGCTTCTGGCGGGCAGCGGTACTGGGGGTGCTAGCAGTGCGAGTGTTGAGATGTCTTTTGATTTCTCGTCTCCAGCAGCCCCCAAGTGTGGCGTGCCTGCCGTGTGGAAAGGCCGTTTGCGGTTGTCTTCCTTGGTTAGGGTCTCCTTCAATGTGCGTGTGCTTCTGGCCGAGGTGGAGGGCGCGTTTGCAGATTTCGTTTCCAGCGCCGTAGCGCTCGAAATCCGGTGCAAGGAGAGACGAGGCTGCACGCTGGAAGACTCTCTGATATCTTGTGTACAGGTAGGTCCACCAGTGCTTGGCAGCCAAAGTCCATTATTCCCCTAGCTATTGCTTTCGCTGTTTCGTCCTCCTCTCCTAGAGGGCCTCTGTGTTCTTGCTCGTTGCTTTCATCTGCCCCTTTATACCCACTACTGCTGCCACTGGCGGTGCTGCTTTTTTTCTTGTGCATACCCCGTTCCCCTGCCCTCCCCTCCCTTCAGCCTGTAGCTTTATCACTCCCTGCAGAGGGCCTCGTCTCTTTCTCCATGTTTCGGCGCCTCCGTAGGTTTCCTGCCCGAAGCGGCGCGAACTCAAGGCGAGCTTGAAAGGGCACCTCGACGCCCATGCGCAGGCAGCAAATGAGCAGCTACAAAAAGTAGCAGAGGTCCTTAAACGTGGAGGAGGAGCTGATCATCTCGGATCCAAAGACAGAGAACAAATTGCAAAGGCATACGCCGAGAGGATCCGGCAGCAACAGGAAAGCAAGCTTCAGCAGGAGCGGCAGCAGCAACAGCAGATACTGCAACAGATACACCTTCACCAGCGGCTGGCCATGCAGCGACAGCAGCAGCTCCTGCTACAGCGGCAACAGCAACAACCCCAGAGACCAGGGGCTCCACAAACTGTTTACAACCAAGAGGAAGAACCACCACAGGAAGAGGACGAGCAGCCACTTGAGTCACCCAAAGAAGAACCCCCTCCAAAAAAGCGAGCCAAAGTCACACTTGTGCTCGCAGGAGGCGTATCCGAGCGCTATCCAGGCGCTGTACCGTGGGCTGTTGCGCTCGGGGCCGCATTCTTGTTCTTTTTCCTTTAGGCTTAGGTCATAGACGCGCAACGAGAGGGGTATTCTCCGAACAAGCCCTCACAGGGAGCCCAGGGAGAGTCTTCACGTGTGTTGACTGCTAGTTGTGGGCATAATAAAGCATGCTTCGAGTCAGTAAACGCTGTGTATCCCCACATCTAGCTCCAGCGCACCCACGCTCCACGAGGGGAAGGAAGCCTATTTGCGACTCGTCAGTCGGCCTAATGCACACCTACGCACCTGTAAAGAACATTACTAATCTTTTTTAAAACAGGAATCACACTAGTGGAGAGAGCCTGGTTCTTATGAAGGGGCTAGGGTCGCCTAGGAGCGGTACAGGGAGCGACCTGCCTCATGACCAGAACTCAGAGACCCCTGTCGTAGTACTAAAGTATGAGATACCTGTAATATGAAACCCCTAAAAGACAATCAGAAGGCCCTCGTGTGTAAACATCCCTGTAGCGAGGTGGAAGGTGATCCGCGGAGGCGGGAACCCTTGAAGCAGGAGGGCCCTAGGGGCCCTTGCTGCCCACCCCGGGTGCCTGGCTTGTTTTCTAATTGTTTTCCATTTACTTCCTAGTGGCCCCTGATTCTGTTGAGATTCTATGCATCTTGCTTTAATCCTTGGATTGTAGCTTATTTGCGCTTTCTGGCTCCTCCCGCCAGGCATGGAGGTGTGGCATGCCGGGAGTCCAGTCCTGCAACGGCTCCTCATCGTTACATGGGTGCTTATTTAGGGTCGTGTTGCGATTGCTACCTCACGGCAGTCCGCAGAATAAGGCACAGGAGGCGGATAGAGAGTGCCGCGAAGGAAGATTCGGAAGCAGGAAAAGGACTAGGGGACGCTGCTTTCGAAAGTCCAACGGGCGACAAAGGGCCAGCTGGTGGAGGGTGTTACAAATAGCCTTTCTTCCGGGTGCAGACGGGAAGAATACGGGTTTGGGGGTCTGTACCGATGTTGCGCTCCCTCAGTAGTCGCATCTCGCAGAGGGTTTGGAGTACTGTCCACTTTAGGGTAGGAGGCAGGGGCCAAGTGAGAACAAACAAGGGTTTCAAACCACAGGCTTTTGACTCCTTGGGAGATGCGCTCTTCTTCGCCAGGCAAGGCAGAATGCAAGGGTCTGAAGGCTGCTGAATAGGCTAGTTTCTTCTGCGCAAACGTGTGCGCGTATAGAGGTGGATGTCTGCCTCCTGAATGATAGTGCAATGACTGAGGGTTTGGGGTGGGTTGTCTGTGGCTCAGGTGGTCGAAGCATCTCCGAGCTGCAACAGTTGGGAATTTCGTGAAGGCGAATGTATCTCCGCAGGCGGCAACTGGCATTCCGAACGGGGGTAAGGGCCAATGTTTTAACGTCTGTCTGTCTGTCTGTTATATATATATATATATATATATATATATATGCCATACTTTTCTAGCTGCGGGGTAGGACTGGTGTGTGGAGTTGCATCTACATGCAACAGGAGAGTGAAAATGTGACGGGGAAGACTTCCTTTTCCTCTGCCTCTCTTGAGCGCGCTGCATCTGCGGAGGCAGCATTGGCGCTTTTCAATGCACCTCCTCCTTGAAGTACGAAAGGGAATTTATACGGTCCTTGCACTGCGTGCTGCTGCAACGAGGAGACGCAATGCTGCATTTTCAGAGGCGGCCTGTTGACACAAGCATGGGTGCCACTGTGCAGCTCTGGGGCGGCAAATATGTGCCATCCCCGACCGCCCTAGTTCCGATGTCGTGCTGATGCGTCTTCTTACTTCCAGCAGCACTTTACCGGTGCAAACAGCCCATGTGTCAGTCCTGCTTGAAGCGGCTCGCATGGTTGCGCGGGTAGCTCTGCGGGAAGGCTTTGCCGTGCTGTTGCAGCCCTCGCGCCTCTACTGACTTGTTGGTCTCCACGTTGGAAGGATGGTCTAGGAGCTTCATTATGTAAACATGTGGTTCGTGCTTTTCCCTGCGCTTCTCGCAGCGGTTTTTGTTCGGCAGATCGAGTCAGGGGAGGTCACCCCCTCTCTAGAGTGCCAACGACAGTTAGAGAAGATCCTTGGAGTTCCCGTCACTCCTCCGAAACGCAAGCGCCGAGCAAAGCTTTAAGGCGGCTGCCCTGCGCGGCAAGGGAGAGGAAGTCACCCACGGTCTCGCCCTCGCGCGTTCCCCCATGCGGCAAACATTTACTGACAGCCGAATGAGGGCATCCTGAAAATGTGGCACGCCTTTTCGTTGCGGCACAAGCCCCCCTTCCTCCCTTCTTGGCCCTTGAAAGGAAGTGGATTGTGCCTTGCCCTGCGGCAGCAGATTAAAAAACATCCCGTAGTCTCCGGATTGCACAGAGAGAGGCACCGTTCTCCAGGGCCTGTCTACATTTTTAGTCTCTGAGATGCTGGTGCAGACGCCGTGCCCGTTAGCTGCACTGGCACGTGCACTCCACCCAACGGGAGTGCAGCAGCCCGAGCTGGGGAGATGTGCGCGCCGCTGCGGGAGGATAAGCAAGCTGACTCTGTTAAAAACTGCGCCCCTAACTACCCTACACCCGTGGTGCAGGGCCCAACATGCCTTTTCCCTCGTTCGCCTGGCGAGGACTTACTCCATGTACATGGATGGCACTGCAGTATTTGGGTGTCTATGCGCATCGCCCTACCACTAATATTGCGAATGTGAAAATCGAGCTCCGGGGCTACACCCCCTATTGAGGGTCGAAGGAAACAAATATTTGCCTCACCCCACAGCTTCATTTAGCATCGCGTATCTTACAAAAACAAGCAGCATGGTATGTAAGAGTGTGGTGCACGAGTACCGTGTGTGTGTGCGTCTGTGTGCATACAAGCAACAATCCACTTAGAAGGGGACGGCATGCGGGAAACAGCGTATGCCCTGGAAAAAAAAGACAGTGCACCCTAGAACGCCCTCCCCGCATCAACGGAGGGGCTATAAGCAGGGGGCGTGCGTGCGTGCGCGCAGTAGAGAGAGTGAGCAGTACGGGTGGAAAGACTGGGTGAGAAAGCGTTGCGGCACGGTGTTTTTACTGCTACAGGTGCCAACCATGGTTTTGAAGCATAAATAGAGGAAAAACAAAAAATTAGACGGGGTTCATTGCCGGCGTATTGCAGAGACGCCTACAAGCAAGCCGCTCTATGTGCCACCCTGTGCAGTGTGATGGGAGGGATGTGCCCTCCCTCCCGGGGGGCTGAAGTAGAATCGCGTATTTTGGTGAGGCGACGGTCGAACGAGGGTAATCTCGGATTTATTCGCTGAAAAAACATGCATTAAGATGAAAGATCGCAGAAAAGGAGTTTAAGACGGCCCACAGAGGCGCGCAAGAGAGAGGCGTAGGCTGCAGGCGCCACGAGCCGCCTCAGGCGGGTGCTGCTCCCCCCTAGAGAGGAATGTATGGACACAGCGCAGAGGCAGCGTGCATGAGGGGGAGGTGGAGAGGACTGAGGGCCTCTCACACTTGTCATTCTACTGCTTGGGGCCGCCTGTGGTGCTGCGTGTTGTACCCGTGTGCTGTGCCGTGCGTGCTGTGCATATAGAGAGCCACTGCTGCTGCTGCTGCTGCTGCCGCTGCCTCTGCTAGGGCGGGAGAAGCTAAACGGACGTAGCCTGTTGCTGCTGCGCGTGCTTCTTCCTCGCTGCTCTAAATTCTTCTGCTGCATGCTGCATGTGCGACAAAACGTATTTTTTCGCGGCGCGCATTGTGGCTGCGGCGGTACCTATTTTTGTTTCATTGTTTTCGGGATTGCGGTCCGCGCTAATTTTCCGGGCCTCTTGCTGATGCATCTTAACACCTCACCTTCTCCCTGGTATTTTCTCGGTGCATGCAACCGCTTCTCTGCCTGATTTTCCTCCTTTCCCCCGTTCCCCGCTTCCACCCCCTCTTTCTCTGCCGCAACAAACGTATCTCCCCTCGCGCTTGCTCCTCCTTTCCCCTTCTTTTTCTCTTTTGCGCGCATTTCCCGCGCTTTCTTTTTCACCGCCCTGCTCGAGTCGCTCACTCTTCCCCTCTCTCTACGCACCTTCCCTCTGCACTTTCGCCCTCTCCATGTCTCTCAACGTCTCCCTCTGCAGATTCTCCCCAGAGATGCCCCTTAAAGACGTCCTCGCACGTCGCCAGCCTGGCGGAAGTCGCACTGGCCCCTCCGACTCTCCCTAAAGCGCAGTTTCTCAACCTCGAGCAGCAGCATGGCCACTCAAGACTCTGCTCCACACGTAGCGTCACAGCATCCGCCGGATGCACCGCAGCAGAGCACCTCTGGGGAGGCGTCTCTGCCTGTCTATTTGCCTCAGTCGAGTTCTACCGCTGCTGCGTTTGAACTGCAAGGCTCAGGCGTTGTAAAGGCGACAGCACCGGCTCCTCCTCTCGAAGGCAACAGCAACAGCAGCATCCAGCAGCAACAGCCTTCTGCTCCGCAGTCACAGAGCCTTGAGGCGGTCCAAGGGAATCCTCAGGCGGAGGCGCTTGTGCAGCAGCAAGCGGCTCGCTCCTTGGCAGACACCCCAGCGACTCCAGCAGGAATACTCGCAGCAGTCGCTTCTTCATCCATACCACCTCCGCCTGCTGCGACTGCCGCTCCTGCTGCGACTGCGCTTCCTGCCACAGCCGATGGACCGCTCGAGGCTCACCGAGTTGCCCCCTTCATGCCTCCGAAGGGAGCAGATGCAGCAGTGCCTGCTGCTCTCGACTCTTTAGGAGGCTCTCATGCGCCTTCTGCAGCGACCCCGTGCGACGCTGCGGGGGGGGCGCAGGCGGTGGAAGCGGTCGCTCCCGCAAAAGCCGCACCGCTGGTTCTGAGTCAGTCTCTGCATGCGCGCGAGTGCGAATGTGGCGAGTTGAGCCTCAAGGCGGAAGAGCTGCAGCTGCTGCAGCCCTTCCTGCTGCAGTACTCGTGGCGTCTGGTGCCGTGCGCGATGCCAGCTCGGAAGGGGGGCAGCAGCAAGAGTTCCCGCAGTCGCGTTTGCCCTTCGCGGCGGATTGCGCAGGAGCTGGAGGCTCTGCAGTCCGCCTGCGACACAGCGGCGATGGAGCTCGGCAAGCGTCGGCAGAAGCGGGCGAGCAGCAGATATGACGATCTGGCAGAAGACAGGAAGACTGGAAGACTCAGGACGGGATCGCCCGGTGATCCTTCGGGAGCCTCCGCCAGATCTGCTGACGCTTCTGTCGTAAGCCAGCAGAACGCTCGCACGCGGTCGAGAGCAAGCCGCACCTGTGCTGCTTCTCAGCAGCAGCAGCACGAGTCGGGAGTCTGTGGAGGCGGCGTGGAGTCTCGCAGCTCTCGACGGCGCCGCTTTTTGAGCGGCGACGACGTCCAGAGTCTCTGCAGCGATTCGTGGGGAGGGGCAGGAGGCGGGGGGGAGGGGACTGGCAGCAACGGGGGGGGGGGCCCTTCGGGGGCGGGAGGAGGGAGTGCTGCTCGTTCGCGACGTATTCTTGCGAGCACGCGATGGAGGGAGAGCTGCATGGCCATCTTGCAGCACCTCAAGTCGCTGAAGGCTGCGCAGTGGTTCCTGTACCCCGTCGATCCTGAGGCTGACAACGTGCCAGACTATTTGGATGTCGTGCAGCATCCTATGGATCTCCAGACGGTTGAGAAGAAGCTGCTGCAGGGCGCCTATCCGCATCCCTTCTTGTGGCAGCAAGATGTGCGTCAGGTGTTTTTCAATGCCTTTTCCTATCACGTCGTTTCAACGGAAGTGTGGAGAGACGCAACAGCGCTCGCTCTCGAGTTCGAGCGGTGCTGCAAGCACGTGCATGAAGTGAATCCGTACGCGGAGGTTGTGTCAGACAGCGACGAGTTGGCGGCGTCGCTGCAGACTACACGCCCTTTGGAGGGACTGAGTCCTCTTGCGGGAAGCCTGAAGGCGACGCAGCAGTGCTCGCAGGGAGAGGAGGGGGTGTGGGGGCAGATGCAGCAGATGCAGCAGCAGATGCAGATGCAGCAGCAGCCTACGCCGCTCGAGGGCGCGTCGAGGGAGCGACGGGCACCACCGCTGGCGAGCGTGGAAGCGTCGAGTGCGTC